ACCGTAATGTGAGGTCTCCTGGAATTCTTTACGCTTCGCGTATCCCCACCAGCCCATCTCACAACAGCAACTCTTGCGAAGCATGCCGACAGTCGTGTTTTTCAGGCGTGTGTCCGCTTGGCCCCGCATATCTCCCCTGTTCCTCCTTCCTCCCGCCTCCTTGTACATCCTCCTTGTGGGGGGAGCGGGAGAAGGACGAGGCGGAGGAGGAGGGAGAGAAAGCGCTCCTCGTGGTTTGAGTCGTTTGGGGTTTCTCGTCCTGGTGTGAGTCGTTCGGGCCCTTCTTCCTGGTGTGAGTCGTTCGGGCTCTTCGTGGTGTGAGTCGTTCGGGCTCTTCGTCCTGGTGTGAGTCGTTCGGGCTTCTCGTGGTGTGAGTTGTTCGGGCCCCTCGTCCTGGTGTGAGTCGTTCGGGCCCCTCCTCCTGGTGTGACTCGTTCGGGCTCCTCGTGGGTGAGTCGTTCGGGGCCCTCGTCGTGGTGTGAGTCGTTCGGGCTCCTCGTGGTGTGAGTCGTTCGGGCGCCTCGTCCTGGTGTGAGTCGTTCGGGCCCCTCTCTGGTGTGAGTCGTTCGGGCTCTTCGTGGTGTGAGTCGTTCGGGCCCCTCGTCCTGGTGTGAGTCGTTCGGGCTCCTCGTGGCGTGAGGCGTTCGGGCACCTCGTCCCCTTTTGGGGCGTCTTGGGGGCCTCTTGGCGGCCCCAGGGGCTTCTAGGAGCGTCTGGGTGCCTTGGGGGAGCCTCTTCGGGCCTCTTGGGAGCCTCTTGGAGGCCGTTTGGGGCGTCTTGGGGGCCTCTTGGCGGCCCCAGGGGCTTCCAGGAGCGTCTTGGGTGCCTCGGGGGAGCCTCTTGGGGCCTCTTGGGGACCTCTTGGGGGCCTCTTGGAGGCCTCTTGGGGGCCTCCTGGGGGCCTCTTGGGGCCATCTTGGGGCCTCTTGGTGCCTCCTGGGCGCTTCTTGGGGCCATCTTGGAGGAAATCGATCAAAGAAGAGGGGAGCTTTAATGAGCGCTGCCCCCTCAGAAGGGCAAAATGAGCCCAACACCTTCGTAAAATCAATGTTTTTGCCTGGCAAGAAGAGGGGAGATTGAATGAGCGCTGCCCCCTACAGAAGGCGAAAATGGGGCCAAAACCGTAGTAAAATCAATGATTCTGGCTTCAAAGAAGAGGAGAGGGTTTTTTCTGCTCCCCCCCGTCGGGGCCCGAATCCTCGTGAGGGGTGTCGTTTTTTAGCCCTCCCAGGAGTCGAAAATGACCCCCCTGACGACCCGCGAAAGGACCTCTCCAGGCCCAGGGGGAGGGGGTAGGGGGAGGGGTAAACCCCTCCCCGAAGGGGAAGAAGGGGGGTTGAGAACAGAGCGGGCTCTCTAAACCACTCACGCCCAAAGGGCTGGTGGGATTCGGAGGTCGCCGCACGGTCTGTCACCGCAGCGTCTTGGGACCCCCAAACACACGTTGGCCGTCCAGCCGTCCAGGCACGGGCTCGGCTCGTTCTGCTCAGCCAGCGGAACCACGATCGGCTGATGCGCTCTCTGTGCCACATTTCGTTGCAACCATTGGTGTCTCACAGCATGGCATGTTTCTGTTCCCGCCGACTCGAGCATCGCGTTAGGGCCAGCGTGTCCAGCGCAGGGTTGTAGTGGGCACCCATGGTATTGATTTGCAGGGCTTCCATTTACAGGCGGTCATGCTCAACAGCTCCAATGGAACTCTCTCGTGAATGGGTTTGGTGCCAGATCGGGCAGGAAGCCCCAGGAGGCCCATGGAGGCCCGACGAGACCCCATGCGGAGAGCACCAAAAGACCCCCAGGGACGCCGCGGGAAGCTCCGGGTTCACCCCAGGAAACTCCCAGAAGGCTCCGGAATTGCATCCTGGCCGGACTCATCGCACGAGAGGGAGGGGCACGGGGAGGTTTGGTGATCGAGGCCGTGTCCTTAGAACCGTCCCCAGCACCTCTCGAAGTCATCTCCGGGGAGCCATCCGGGGCCAGCATGCAGTTCTCGGCAGTCGTCAGAACTTGCAGCGTGCCACAAGGCCTTTCACGGCTTTGAACAACGGAGCAGCCCCGCGGTGCGAGCGCGTCGATTCTTCAGCAGGCAGCAACGACGGGGGAGGCCCCGAGGGGCACGAGGGCGAGCAGGGGGCCACGCAAAGCAGCGAAAGGCGATCGGCGCACGCCCCAACTTCGGCAGGCGGGAGCAGGGAGCGCACCGTTCTCTGCGGCGCAAATTATCAATATTTCCGTCGTGTCATACCTTTCAGGCTACGGCCGGATGGGAGGGAGAGAGAAAGCGAGGGGAAGGGAAGGGCCAAAAACGGTGCAATTGCGGCAGCATCAAATGTTGCAGCCTGATGTGCACATTCCCTGATCTGTCATGCCACGAACCTCCTTCCCTCTCCTTCCTCCCCCTGCATCGTTCATCCATCTGCTCGCCTATAACTGTTATCAAGGAGATGCTGGATCTTTGGGCTCCGATTCCCGCCTCTTGCTTCCGACCCCTTACGCTGGGTTCTCAGTCAGGGGTGGGAGGAGGGGGGCGGGGGAGGAGTGAGCGTTTTCTGATATGAGTACGGCCACGGACGAACGAGGTACGTAAAGCTGCTGAGCTAAGCTGCACGTTGTTAACGGCAAACGCCCCAGAGAAAATCCCGCGTCCGCTACCAAGGTTCAGCCCATGCTGGGCCCTCCACGATTGTTCAGGGCATTTGAGATTACGGTCGGGAGCGTTTTCTTGGCATGCCGCACCGCTGGTTTTGGCCCATCATGTTTCAAGACATGCTGATCACGCCCCGGTTTCCGAGCGTCGACGTCCGGGGCTACACGCTACCAGCTTGCAAGGCATGGCGTGTCGCAGGAGGCGTCGCCGCGACACGCTAAGCTTGTGTTTCTAGCTGTACCCCTGGCTGGACTGCTATTCCTCATCTTTCTTCCAACCACGTGCGCGTAGATAATCATAACAGTTGGCCTTTCCGACCGATGCCCCACGGAAATGTCCGATGCCTTGATGGTTTCGGAGACCAGTGTGGCGTCTTGGGTGCCCCAGGAAGTGCAAGGACCTATGAAAACGTGCCCCAGATCCTTATAGCAAGATGTCGCGTGGTACGCTTTGCATGTACATGATCTCGCTGTTCGATCAACAACTCGCTGTGGCAAGTGCTGATACACATTGTTTTTGATCGCCTAGACACGTGTTGCTCATCTAGGCTGTCTCTGGATTTGCCTGTGCCTGGCCATGAGTCGCCAGAACGAGGGGGCAATTTGCTTTCGAGTTTCGGAGCCCCGTTCACAGTTCTCATCGGGGGGACTGCGTACTATCCAATTGTGGGATCACGCTCTGTGGCGTGACAGTGAGGCGCTCGTGTGAGTCGGAGTGAAGGGTTCATCAAGCGGTCCTCAACGCTGCCTGATACAAATACAGGTCGTGTGGTACGGGCAAAATGTACTATCAGAATCCCAATCTCCTTCCTCCCCCCCACGTCATCCGTCCCCATCGCACAGTGCTCCCCACAATAGCGAACGACACAGCGTGAGCGTGGTGTGGCGCGAGGGGTCGCAGGCGGCTCCTTCATGAGCTGAGGTCAGGGGAACGACTGGGGATCGGAGTTCTGCTTCGCCCCCTCCCCAAGCACACAAAAAGGAGGAGGAGGAGGAGGAGGAGGAGGAGGAGGAGGAGAGGACGGATCGGGTGCTGCCAGAGGAGTCCCTGGCCCACGGGTGTTCGCAGGGCTTCCTGGGAGCCCCCATCGACCTGCAGAGCGCCCCTCACGAGCCCCAGAGGGCCCCGGGGGCACCAGGGGCACGGAGAGCTTTAGGGGCACCCTGGGCAACCGATGTTAGATGTCGAGAGAGCAGCGCTGCTTTCGGGCAGGGCGAAAGGGGGGATAGGGAAAGGGGGGGTTACGAAATTTGCTGCATGCAGCTGGTTTCGGCCCCGCCGCCGGGCCCATTCCTCGATACATGGGCGCCTCCGGCGCCGGGAGACGCCGGGAAAATCAGCTACGTGAGCTGATTCTCAAACCCCCCCTTTGCTATCCCCCCCTTTCGCCCGACCCGATTCTTTCTGGAACATGGGGACCGCTAGACAAACTCTCCTTCGGCGTGCTGGAGTCATCCGAGCACCTGGACTGATGCCCGTGCGAAGCTGTACGAGTGCTGCTCTGCCCACGTGTCTTCCGTGTGAGGCCGGCCTGAGCGCGCAGAGGCGTCGAAATGAGGCAGAAGCCCTGAGCGACCGCAGTTCGGTGCTGAGGTGGGAAAGAGATGCTGGGCGACCCCCGCACGGACGAGCACGGGGGGAGAGGACTTGGCTCGTGGCACGCCGCCGGCACGATCGCGACCCCCAGTCGCGGAGAGGTGACTGGGCCACGTGTGCCTCCTCCAGGAGCTCGGGGGACCCCCACCTTACGTGCTCTTCTGGGAGGACCCCCCATCTTACATGTTCTTCTGGGGGGACCTCACTGATCCATTCAAAACTCTTCCTTCACTCAGGTTCGACTCTGCTCCGACTCAACTTCGAATCAGTCCGATGCGTCATGGACGCATTGGTGGAGCGGGTGGCTTCAGCAGGAACGTCCCCAGAACGACTTGGCATCGCCTGGACCTTTGCATCTTTTCCCAGCGGCTACCATCGAAAAGCTTGCTGGATCATCTTGGAGAAAGCAACACGCACCGAGCGACAAATGCACCGGATACGGCAAGACGAGTACCATCGAGGAGTATCTTGGATCATTTTGGGGCAACAAGAACGTTTTAAGCACCAGAGAATGCACAGGTACGGACGTCCGAGCGATGGCAAGTCGAGCACCCGACCCATCGTGATGGGCCGATTTTCTTCCGCATCCACCACCATAGGTAGGAGAGGAGGAGAGGGAGGAGGAGGAGAGGGAGGAGGAGGAGGAGGAGGAGGAGGAGGAGGAGGAGGAGGAGGAGGACCTCCCCATCCTCACCTCTCCCCCGTCCCACCTGGGCTAGCGGTGGTGGACAGTTGGCCCGTCACGTCGGGCCCGCAGGAGCGCGCGCAGCTGGGGGTGCGGGCCGAGGCCCTGCTCCGCGAGATGGAGCGGGAGAAGGCGTGGCCCGCGCCCGCTCGGCAGAGCCTGCGGGGCGGAGCTGACCCGCCCACGGGCTCCAGTGGCTCTCCAGGCACCGGGCTCCTCACCTCCAGGTGACTTGGCATCGCTCGGTCGTGTGCACTTTTTCTCGGCGGGGACCATCGAGGAGCATGTTGGGCCATCTTGCGAAAACTACACGCACGGAACCCTACATTCGCACGGAGATCGGACGTCCAAGCGATGGCGAGGTGATCGTTCTCTTATTCACTGTTTTGCCGATCGGCGCGGGCCCTCGCACCCTCCCTCCCCCTCCCCGTTTTTGGCGACTGTTTCAGGCAGGTGGAGTCTCCCGCAGTGGGTTCCTTCGGTAGCAAATCATGGGAGCCTCGCGCACCCCTGAAAGTCGATGAGGTAGCGCCGATTTAGAATCGGTTAGCGTCGATTAGCGTCGATGTTGCGTCGATTAGCGTCGACTAGCGTCGATTCGCAAGAGCCGACAAGATGGCATGGGAGGCCACCATGACTTGCGACCGAAGGTTCCTCATCCAGTCGGGGAAAGTATCATTCCTCGGAGGTCCGCTTTGATTTTTGGGATCGGCGCTGGGCACCCCTGACGGCGCCTCTGGCGCCCCCCTTGGCGCGCTCCGCGCGCCAGGGGGAGCCAGATTTGCTTCACGTCGACATCGCCGATGCGTCGCCGACGTCAACGATGCGTCGCTGGTGCATCCCCGATGCATTGCCGATGCATCGGCGATGCGGCGCGATCCTCCGACACCATCTACTCCGACCCCATCTACGAGGCCTCCTAGCCAGAGCGCCAGATCTTGCAGGATCCTGCAGGGCCAGGGGCGCACTGACCCGGGCTTGGGCGCAGGATCCTGCAGGAGGTTGCAGGATCCTTCGCGTTGGCCCAGGCTTGGATGCAGGATCTTGCAGGATTCTGCGCAAGGCCTGACTGGCCTGGCTCTGGCTTGGCCCGGGTCGGAAGATCCCCGACTGTGGCCGCGCACGGCTCTGCTCTGCTAGCCCTCCTCGCCCCGTTTGCGCGCTAACGGCGATGCAGGTAACGGCGATGTAGGTTTCGGTATTGTGGGAACGCGCGGCTCCTGCTTTCCTACAGTTCGCTGTGTTGTTTTCGTTCGGTACATCCGCAGATCGGAGGTGTAGGAAAATGTGGTTCATGATTTCCTACAATTCGGTTTCCAACATCACCGTGAAGCAACATCGCCGTTAGCGTGCCCTTGGTCGGCTTGGGCAGGCCAGCGGACACGGTCGACACGCAAAATCGGCAATTGGCCTGTTGGCAGGTGCCCTTTATGTTATTGTTACGGTCAGGAGTTCTGGGCTTATTCAAATTCAAGGAACAAGCTCAGAGGAGGAACATGTACCGATACCGCTAACCTCGTCGTGTGGGCCTCCTGGGAGGCCTTCGTGGCCACCGCTGGATTCGCCTCGGAATTCTTCTCAGAACGCACTACAGGAGAGGTCTGGGGAGTAGCGATACCGGTGTTTTTTTTTCGTTTTCCCACAGGCAGTTGCAGAAACATGCATTGTCGGAGTTCCGCGTTGATTTCTTGGATCGTCGTTGGGTCCCCCTGACAGCGCCGGGTGCCCCTGACAACGGCTCCGCCGCCGCCCCTGGCGCGCTCCGCGCGACAGGGATGGGGGGTCCAGCGCAAATCCAAGACATTTGCGCGGACCGTCGACAGTTGATATATATATATATATATATATATATATATATATATATATATAGTTGTGTGTATGTTTAAATACATATATATATGCAGTTTTCTCTGCTTCTATTTATAGCGTGTCGCGCCGCCTGTTCTGGCCCACCACACTTCGGCGCGACACGCTATCCGGGAATCCACGTCCCACTCCCCGAGCTTTGACGTTTCGAGTGGTTCCCAGCCTCCCGCCCCGCGGCGTGGAGCGACACTCTAGCCGCTCGCAGGGGAAATCGTGTCGCTGGGGCCGCCGACGCGACACGTGAGCAACAGTTCCCGACCGTAGTATCCCCCGATAGCCCCAGAGACCCACATAAGTTCGGGGGCATCCTAGTCGGGGGAACGTAAGGCTCGAGTTCGCCGGAACTTGGGTCTGCCGACGCATTTCGGCGGACCGGCCTTGAGTTGTTGGCGGTTCAGTTTCCGCGGGATGTTTACAGCGAGGGCCCGCGTCAAAGTTCAGACTAGGTCTCGTCAATTCCCTGACGGCCCCGTCAGGCCAACCCGAGTCCCCCGAACACAAGTCGTGCGTCTTCCCGGGAGGACCCCCAAATATCGACGAAACATGTGCCACAAGATTCCTTGCAGCAAGCTTTCTTTATCGCTTATGTCTGCCATAGGGTGTGAGGCGCCCCCTGGGCGCTCTGAGACGGCCGTGGTGCTCCCGATGCACACCCTCCACGCCCTCCAGTTCGAGGAGCCTCCCGATCGAGACGCGTCGGTCGGATGTTGCCTGCGTGCTGCCTTCGTCCCATCCCGGTTGCAGCGGGGCGACCTCCCATCGGGCCTCGCGTAAAAGGGGTCAGCCAGCCCCCGCTGGCTGACCCGGGCTTGGGAGCCACGTGGGGCCGATTCCTCCTTTCGGGCACACAGGAGATGGATCGCTTCTGCTGGCCGGGGCTCCCGTAACGGGGGTTCAGCGCGATCGGGGGTCAGCCAACCCTCTCTGGCGGGCCCGCGGTTGGGAGCCCCGTGGGGTCGATCCCCTCTTTGTTGTGTCCACCCTCCGCTGGCCTGGGATGGGGAGCTACTAGGCCGAGTGGCCAGCCGGGCTTCGCGACAGGGCCTTGGCCGACCTGGGTATGGGCTGACCCAGGGTAGTGTTAAGTCGGGCCTGTCCCTCTACAGGAGAATATTCAAAAGTAGTCACCAAATAGTCTGGGGGCGATTTTTCTATGATTTTGCATTTTTATTCAGCATTTCTGGGGTATAGTTTATTTTTCTGCCAAAATCCGACTGTAGGAGGACATGCCCGACCTAAGCGTGGTGCGTCCCCGAGAGGAGAGCTCGGACTTGTGAACACAAGGGTGCCGGAAGTGGGGAGGCGGAGGGGCGAAGAGGGTTCTTTTGTCCCATAGTTGGCGCGCAACCTCTCGGGACACGCGCTGGGCACAGGCGGCGGGTTCCAGAGGAGTGCCCCCAAAGCGGCGCGATCAAGGCTCGAGGATCAAGAGAGGCGGAGGATCGAGGTTCGAATAGCAAGGATCATGGTAGTTTTCAGTCGGGCGTGCCCCTCTACAAGAAGAGTGCTCGAGAGTAGTAAACACAATAGCGCGGGGATGATTGTTCGACTACTTTATGAAAATGCTTGAAAATGGTTTGGCTATGTTTTATTTTTCTTACAGAATCCGCCTGTAGCAGGACATGCCCGACCTAAGAGTTAATGGCCATGTGGGGTCGCTCAGGCCTCCTGGAGCGCCCTCGTCGCCACGTCCTGGCATACCTGCACGTCCGATGGCGCGACAGGGGGGCGTTGACAAGGAAGAGAGAGTCAGGAGGTGGATGAGGACGAAGAGGACGGCAGCGATGACGACGACGAGCGAATGGTCCTAGGAGGACGCTGGACGACATCGGCATTCATTGAGGTACTGACGCCACCAGGCGGCAGGCTACAGGAGGACGCTGAGCCAGGATATGAAGGGGGTGCACAAAAGAGACGAGGACGAGGAGGAGGAGAGAGATGAGGACATAGAACACCATGAGGAGGAGGAGGAGCAGCATGATGACAAGGTGAAGGGAAGACGAGGATATAGGACGACGAGGCGGAGGAGAAGGAGTGGACGATCGAGGCGGCCCGTGGCCTTCTTGACGTCCTGAGTGCGAGGAGGGGAAGGAGGAGGAAGATGATCAGGAGGAGCTGTAGGAGCAAGAGGAGGAAGACGAGGAGGAGGAGGGGGAGGACGAGGAGGAACATGATGATGATGAGGAGGTTGAGGAGGATGATGAGGATGATGATGATGATGATGATTATGATGATGATGATGATGATGATGATGATGATGATGATGATGATTATTGTGGTGGCGGTGGTGGTGGTGGTGATGGTGGTGGTGGGGATGATGAGGAGGATGATGAGTAGGATGATGATGAGGATGCTGGTGTTAATGATGCTGATGGTGGTGATGAGGATGATGCTGATGATGCTGATGATGATGACGATGATGCTGATGATGATGTTGAAGATGATGGTGATAATGATGCTGATGCTGCTGATGAAGATGCCGATGCTGATGCTGCTGATGATGAGGATGATGCTGCTGATGATGATGCTGCTGATGATGATGATGACGATGACGATGATGATGCTGATGGTGATGATGATGATGCTGATGCTGATGATGATGATGGTGCTGATGATGAGGCTGATGATGAGGATGAGCATGAGCATGAGCATGCGGATGAATATGATGATGAGGCTGAGGCCCAGGCTGAGGATGAGGATGAGGATGACGATGAGGATGAGGATGATGATTCTGATGATGATGATGATGATTATGATGATGATGATGATGCTGATGCTGATGCTGATGCTGATGATGCTGATGCTGATGATGATGATGATGATGATGATGATGGTGATAGTGATGGTGATGGTGATGTTGGTGATGCTGATGATGATGATGATGATGATGTTGATGATGATGATGAGGATGAGGATGATGATGATGATGATGATGATGATGATGATGATGATGATGATGATGATGATGATGATGATGATGATTCTGATGATGATGATGATGATGATGATGATGATGATGATGGTGGTGATGATGATGACGACGACCAGGAGGATGTGGAGGAGGAGGAGGAGGAGGAGGAGGAGGAGGAGAAGAGGGAAGAGGAGGAGGAGGAGGAGGCGGAGGCGGAGGCGGAGGCGGAGGCGGAGGAGGAGGAGGAGGAGGAGGAGGAGGAGGAAGAGGAGGAAGACGAAGAAGAAGACGAAGAAGAGGAGGAGGAGGAGGAGGACGCGAAGGAGGTCGTGAAGAACGAGGAGAGGGAGGAGAAGCAGAGGCTCGATGCTGGCGCGGACACGTGCGGCAGGGAGGGCACGGACGGAGCCCCGGCCCCCAGATCGGAGGCCTTCCCGGCAGCCTCGCAGCGCCGTCGCGCCCCGACGAACCAGTGCCTCCATCCCTCGGCCTCTCCTCCCTCCCTCCTCTGTCCTGGTCCTCCCTCCCTTTTCCTGCTCCTCCTCCATCCTCCCCTTGCTTCCTTCTCCCTCCTCCCCCTTCCCGATTCCTCCTCTTGCATCCCCTCGCCTCCCTCCTCGTCCTCCTCCCTTTCTTCTCCTCCTGCTCATAGTTCCTCCCCCGCTCCATTGTCATTCCTCCTGCCTCCTCCCTCCTCCTACTCGCCCTCCTCCCTCCCTCCCCCTTCTCCTCCGCCTTCTCCTCCCTCATACCCTCACTCCCAGTCCTCTCGTCGTCCTCCCGGACGGGCTCCCCCTCCCCCCCTCCGTCGCCGCCTCCCCTCATCCGCCACATCCCTCCCCCTGGCTCATCCTGAACGGTTGGTTGGTGGAGAGGCCCTGTGCCGCTGGACGGTGCAGGGTCTGCCCCTCCAACTCTCGTTGCTGGAAGGTTCAGCCTTGTCCGCTCGAAGTGTTCTAACCCTGTTTCCTCCTCCCCACTCTCCCTCAGCTCAATGTCGCGTCAGCGCCGCAGATCTTTTCTGCTGCCTCGCAATGCTGTTGCATCATTGCGCCTGTTTATCCTGCACTTGCTGACCGCTGCGGGCTGTCAGAGGGCCTCGAGCGGTCAGCCGGTCATGAGGCCCCTCTACTCCCCCATCTCTTCCCTCGCCTGCGCGAGTGCCAGCACCGCTGTATTGCCACGCGGAGGAGGGGGAGGAGGGGGAGGAGGGGGAGGAGAGGGAGGAGGAGGAGGAGGAGGAGGAGGAGGAGGAGGAGGAGGAGGAGGAGGAGGAGGGGGAGGAAAAGGAGGAGCAGGAGCAGGAGGAGCAGAAGCAGGGGGAGGAGGAGGAGGGGGAGCAGGAGGAGGAGGAGGAGGAATGCCCAATCCTGGCTGGCCCGTTGAGGGCTCCGCGCGCGCCGGCGCGTGCGACGTGCCTGGCGGGGAGCCTGGGCCGCCCGGCGGGGGCGCGCCGGGCACCGCGCGCCGCTCGCCGCGGTCTGGGCCAGAGAGGCTGTCCTTTCCAGCGGGACTGCGCGAGGGCGCGCGAGCCCGCGAAGATAGTCTTAAGTCGGGCACGTCCCTCTACAGGAGGAGTATTCAAAAGTATACACACTGTTCATTTCTAATTATTCCAGAGTTCTTTGATGTTTTGGGGGGCCAAGATCCTTTCATATCTAATTGTTTTGTCCTGGGCCTCTTCCTGGCCACTGGGGGGCCAGGAACAATTAAAAACGAGCACACTTGGAAATGAGCACGATTAGAAATGAACGACGTGGATACTGACAAAATAGCCTGGGAACGATACTTTGACCAGTTTTGAACCATTTTGCAGCATGTTTTGTTTAGGTGTTATGTTTTTCGTCCAAGATCCCCCTGTAGGAGGACGCGCCCGACCTAAAGATAATCAAGCGTCGCGCATCGCGGGGCGCGGTGCGCGAAGGTGCCGTCGGACATGTTTGGATAGCGTGCCGCCCCGCCAGTTCTGTCCCGCCACGCTTCGGAGCAACACGCTGTCCGCTTTCCGGTGCCCAAGCGTCGGCTCCTCGAGTTTTTTTTTCCGAGCCTCCTGCTCCGCTGAGCGGAGCGAAACGCTATCCGTTTGCAAGGCATAGCGTGTCGCGGGGGCCGCCGCCGCGACACACTATCCAACAATTCCAGACCGTGTATATAGAGATACACCTAAATAGGTGTATAGATGTGTATATCTTGCTATAGGCATATATCTCTACATATCTATATTCTTATGTGTATATCTATAATACCTTAGTTGTGTCTAGATATTTATATATATATATGGAGTTTAGGGCAGCGGGTTCTGAGAGCCAAGGTCGGCACCATGCGTTGGAAGTGTGTCACAGTGTGCCATCGTGAGGCCTACCACGAGCAGTCGCTGGAACGCGTCGTGCAGGCGAACGCCAGGCTCATGGAGGATCGGACGGCGCCCATCCGTTGGGCCTGGGCAGTGCCCAGGGCCAAGCAGGACCGAGGTATCCTGGCTTGCCTATGGGGGCACCGAAGCATGTTCCAATAATCTCTTGTGGCTCGCACGAAGTATTATGATAACAACTCTGACTGAAGCCGTTTCGTTTCAGTACGTCGCTTTCATGTTCGAACCGTTTTAGTTATGGGAACGCTCTTTTGTTCTACGAGCATTTCGTGGTAGGCGTATGGGTCTGCCGGGACGGTGGCTCCCTGCTTTCAAGGGGTCACCACTGGGGGGCCACTAGTTCCGTCTTCTGGGGAATAATGGCTCCAGTATTCTGGGCCTCCTAGATGCGGTCCGAGTAGATGGGGTTGGAGGATCGCGTCCCATCGACGATGCGGCACGATGTTGAGACCGTGTTTCCCCACGACGTCGCCGATGTATCGCCGACGAATCGCCGATGCATCACCAATACATCGGCAATGTATTGGCGATGCGGCGGGATCCTTCGACCCCATCTACTCGGACCCCATCTTGGAGGCCTCTAAGGATCGACGTCCGAGGGGGTGTTTGTACGGTTTGGGCAGTCCTGGAAGACTCTGGAGTATCTTTCGGGCACCGCACTCCTGTGCGAAGTTGCGCTTCCTCGAGGAAGCGGAGGCCCTCCTGGTGGTGAACACCCCTCGGGATTGCCCCCCCCCCAATCTTAGGTGCTCGTTTTGAGGACCTTCTTAGGCCCACCTAACGGATTTGTTCGACTCCAGTTCGATTAAAGTTCGAGTCAAATTCGACGCAGGTTCGACTCAGGTTCGACTTAAGGTCGACTCGAATCGACGGACGTTCGACGCAGCTGCGACGCACGAGTGGTAAGAGTGGCTCTGGGAATGTCCCCAGAATGAGCAGGCAGCCAATCGGGGCAGGATTCGAACACCTTGAACGCCGAAGTCTGAATAAGCGTGCTGTCGCCAGAAGTCTCGCAAACGGGTCACGGCCCTGAGCAGATCCGTCCCGCGCGCAGAACGGAGTGGCAGGCGGGTTTTTAATGATTGCGTTATCGGATGTTGGGCTTTGCTGCTTTCGGCACACATCTGATTGTCAACTCAAATGTAGCGTGCGATGTGGCGCCGCCCACCCGCTCAGTACGCGCTATCCCTATGCACGCCCTCCCCGACCTTGGGGATAGCGTGTGCCGAAGAAGCCCCGACAGGGTGATAGCGAGCACAGACGGGCCCTCGCGGGAGGTCGCCTCTCAGGGGTAGCGCATTGTTCGGAGATCGATGTTGCACGCTATATTTGCAACGCCAACCGTGAGAAGAATAGAGCGCAGGGAAAGAGGGTCAAAGGCTGACAGTTCGATAATAGAGGTCATGGTCGCAAGAATCGAATCTTGGCCGCCAAGACAACATGCCAATCAAATCTCTCAGACTCGCGCCAAATCGCTGGCACGATGGAGGAACAGCTCGCGTGCTTTTCCCAGGCGGATTTTTGTAGACGAGCCCTCATTGTCTCGAGGGGCGCTCCGAAAGCTGACGAACACTCGAACTGCACACTACACATGGAGAGCTCAGATTCCTTGATCACTGCCACTTGTGGGTGTGAAGCATGGTATGGCTTTCTGTTCGCCAGTGCTTAGGAGAACGAGGCGGGGGGTGCGTTCCCTCAGTGTTTGTGCCTGCCGTTTTCGCTTCATGATTTCTGTCCTCTTCCCCGTCGTTATGTGGAGCCTGCCTTGTGTTGTTGCGGCTCGTATCTGTCGTAGTATCTCTCAGTTTACAGCTTGTAGTACGCACTGTTAGCCTGCATTGCACATGAGACTGGGTTGTCCCATCGCTCGAGAACGAAAGAAAGAAGCATGGCATGGTTGACACTTTGCTGCTGCTGCTGCTGCTGCTGAGGTTCGTGAAGGCGTCGCGCCAAGCGCCGACGTGTGACTGGTTTAGATAAGAGAGGATTGAGGCGAAGAGTGATCTACAGAGAGAGAGAGAGAGACAAAGAGAGAGAGAGAGAGAGACAGAGGGTGGAAAGGGGTAGGGAGGGAGAGATAGTGTGAAGAGAGAGGCAGATAGAGAGAGAGACACAACAGGAGTGAGAGAGAGTGAGAGAGACGGAGAGAGAGAGAAAGAGAGAGAGAGAGAGAGAAACAGAAGCGCACGCCGAGCGAGATCGAGGGGGGAGGGGGGGGCGGGCGGCTGCGACGGCAGGCTGGCCTGAGGATGCCCTGGGCCGCGGGGCCCGCGCCGCGGTGCGCTCGGGCCCCCCCCTGCGCAGGAGCGGGACCGCGCCGCGCAGGAGGCGCGGCGGCCCCCCGCGGGCGGGGTGGGCGAGGGCCCCGCATCGCGCGCGGCCGGTGGGCTCGGCATCGCTCGGGCGCGCGCGTTTTTTGTTGTTGCTGTGGTTGCTCTCGGCGAGGGCCATCGTGGGGCAGATGGGTAGCGTTCAGCCGTTCTCATCCCCCATCTCCCATCCCCACCCAGGCCCCCGCCATCTCATCCCCCCAGTTGGGGATGTACCCTTCGGAATCTGGCAGGAGCTGCCCGTACCCCCATCCAGGGGGGTGAACCGGCCAGTGGGGCCCAGGCCACGCGAGTGGGGGATAGGGATCAATCAAACGATGCTCAGAGCATCCTGGATCATCTGGTCGTCGTTTTCTCTTATTCAGTGTTCTGCCGATCGGCGCGGTCCCTCGCACCCCCCTCTCCCCACTTCGATGGAGTAGGTCTTGGCTGCTTTGGGCGCCGTTTTTTCGAGCAGGTGGAGTCTCTCCCCCACAAGACGCGCTGTTGCAAACAGTCGCATTAAGCAGAGGTCCCGAGCCAGGCCCCCCCCCCGCTCCCTCGCCCCTTCCGCCCAATGTCGAGACGCCGAAAACGAAAACGGTCACCTGGCAACAAGAAAAGCGCGCACGAAACCGAAACTTGCACGGGGAATGGACCTCCGAGCGGTGGCAAGCAGGAGGATGGGCCTCGCTCGGCTCGGTCGGAGAAGAAACAGCGGCACGAGCATGAGCTGCCGGAGTGCCGCGCGGATGTCTTGGATCCGCGCTGAGCCCCCCTGGCGGCACTTCCAGCGCAGAGAGCGCCAGGGGGGGCGCCACACCACGTGCGGATTTAGGAGGGGGGACCCGCTTGGGCGGCGTGCAGTCAACTGGCGGCACGTAAGGGCGATCCTTCGCCAGGGTGGCCTCTGGTGCGGGCACACGGGGCCCCCTGATGCCCGAACGCGATGCGGTGGCAGCGTTTTTTGCGCGCTCGGGTTTGGCCGTGCCGCGGCCCCCGAGAGTCGCGCACCAAAGGTCGCTCTTGCCTGGGTGCACACTCGCGTGTAGACGAGCCCAGACGCCTCCGATTCAGAAAAGCGGAGCGAACCCGCGCTGGCGGAGCTTCTTGGATTCGTGCTGGGCCCCCCTCCCTCGCAGGAGAGGCCGCCAGGGGGCCCCAGCGCCGATCCGAGACATCCGCGCGGACCTCCGAAAGTTTTGTGCCTGTCCCGTTCCCTCCCTCTTGAAGCAGGGCCCCTCCCGGCGCAGCAGGGGCCCACCGCCAGCAGGACGCCGAAGGCCGCCCAAGGCCGATGGGTAACCAGGCGCGCGTGGTCGAAGGCGCAGGGGTTGCCATCTCCCCGTGGCGTAGGGGTCCAGGCGGGCGCCCACTGCCCACGCCGGCAAGCCCTCGGCTCCAGCAGGCTCCTCGTCGCCCACGCCCCTCGGACCTCTGGCCCTGCACGGTCCCGGCGCTCGCGTGCGCGGGCCGCTCCGAGCCCGGGGAGGGGCTCTCTGGCTGCTGCTGGCCACTGCCCAGAGCCGGGTCGGGGAGCCATGGGTGATGGGCCTGTTTTCCTCCACCACCACCACCAGAAGTTTGAGGGGGGAGGGAGGTGGAGGAGGAGGAGGAGGAGGAGGAGGAGGAGGAGGAGGAGGAGGAGGAGGGGGAAAAGGAGGTGGAGGAGGAGGAGGTGGAAGAGGAGGAGGAGGAGGGGGAGGAGGACCCCTTCTGGTGGTGGTGGTGGTGGTGGACGGAAAGCCCACCAGTGGGTGTGGCCGAGGGTCGCCGTGGCCAGAAGGCCCCCTTCGTGCCTTGTTCCTCCCTCTCCTTCCGGCAACACGATGCGCTGCAAAATAGGAGGGGGTCCGCCGGGGCAGTGTGCGACGGCTGTGCGCCGCGCTGAGACGGCGGCGACCCCGCACAGGAGCGCCTGTCCCAGGTACTCCGAGGAGGACAAGGTATACTGATGACCGCTACCATTCCATTCTCTCGTTCTCGTCCGGTTCCTGGGGGAGGCCCTCGCCTCCACGGCCAGATCCGCCCCCAAATCCGGGTCAGAGCGCACCCAGGAGAAGTCCGGGGAGCAGCGGTTATCGGTATCTCCAGTGTGCAGGAGGAGGTGGACGTCATGGCCAGGGTAACGACATCGCCCCAGATTTCAGTGCCCCCCCTTCTTATTTCAGCACGTTCCCTGGTCCCCCTACCGTCCAAGCACATTCCTCGGGTCATGATTTGTGAGCCCCCTCTTTGGACGCACCCGAATTTTTCGGTTTCCCCAGAGCCCAAATCTTCGTCATTTTTATTTACCAGCGCGAAGGAGCCCAGCGGCAAGGTGAAGGAACGACGAAGACGAAGACGTCGACGAGGACGACGAGGGGGAGAGGCAGGGAAGGGAGGGATATCGCAGCGACGGCCCAGTTCTGGCCCGCGCCCCCGCGGCGGCTCAGTCCGCCGGCCAGAACTGGGATTTGTGGAGATCGGACAGGGGTGTGGCATACAGGGGTATGGTGCCAAGCGTGGAGATGGCGATGCGATCTGCGATAACTAACGGCGGCAGATAACTAACGGCGCCAGATTATCGGGCCGAACGAATGAGGGGATAGGGAAAGGATGGGTTACGAAATCTGCTGCATGCAGCTGGTTTCGGCCCCGCCGCCGGGCCCATTCCTCGATACCCGGGCGCCTCATGGGCGCCTCCCGGCGCCTCCCGGCGCCGGGAAAATCAGTTACGTGAGCTGATTCTCAAATCCCCCTTTTGCTATCCCCCCCTTTCGCCCGGCCCGAAACTAGCACCACACCCCTTAACACCATAACCCGTTCCTACCTCCGGAGGGATGTCTGCCACAGTTGCCAGCCGCCCATCCCTGCTCGGCCCCCTTCCCCGGCGGAGCCCGCCCGAGGCTCGCGGGCGCAGGAGGGGCCAGCGGGCGCCGCCTACCCGCAGATCTCGGATCCCGCACGTGTTTTCCAGCGCCCCTGCAAGCGTCTTCGACAAGCGTTTTACGCACTCCGAACTGCGTCGCTATCGGGGTTTTGCATTGCCCAAGTAGCTAATGTGAGGTTCGGTGGGGCACGGTGGGGCCCCGAAGCTTTTTCCGCCACAGGCACCGAGGCGACGTTCACGGCGATGTTGTTGAACGATGAGGTTGGAAACCGAAGTGTAGGAAAACACGATGCACATTTCCCCACATGTCCCATCAGCGGATGTATCGAACGAGAACGGCACAGCGAATTGTGGGGAAGCACGAGCCGCGCGTTTCGACAAGACCGAAATCTACATCGCCGTGACTTGCATTGCCGTTAGCGTGTCTACGGAAACAAACGAACGCCATGTTGTAAGGTTATGCATGAGACGGGACGCATACGCTTACAGAGATTGCCAACATGTTCCGAGTGCCGATGCGCGAAATTCAGAGTCAGCCGTTTTCTCCTCCAGGTTCGGGACAGGGGGTTCGACGTTTGTATGTGTTTTGTCTGCGTCTTGTTTTTAGGGTTCTTTCAGCCATTTTTTTGTGGGCGTTTTGCGGACCTGGCAGGGGCCGCCAGAAGGGGTCCAACTGTTGCCTGGAGCTCTGAGAGGGCCGCCAGGATTTGTCAGGGACATACACGGGACTGCATCAGTGCCCCCTGGAGGGGAAAGGGTAAAATAGACTTCACGAGGTCTTTATCCGCCCGAGGGCCTCGAAGAAGCCAAACGGAAAACACTGCAGGTGAATCAGCCGTGAACGCCGAGGACACCTGCCGCAGATTTGTAGTACGTTTTGGTGTGATGATGTTGGTCGGCTGTTGCAGTTGGCTCGCATTGTGAATGCGCAGCTTGTGTGGGCCTTTTGACTTTTACCTTGACGTGCGTTCGCCAGTCTCAGAGGTTGTTTCGCACTCCTTCAACCGCTCGTCTTCCGCTGTCCTCCGCCCTTTTTGTTTTTTCCTCCCGCCCATCAAGCCCCCCCCCAGAGTGGGCAGGAACCAGCAGGTGACCAGGAGGAAATTGCAGTCCTGTCTCGTGCCCTTCGCTCGCTTCCAGCACTCCCCCCCTCTTTCCCGTGTTGCATGGTACCGCATTTCGGCGGCGCGCCCATGCGGAAGCGCAAAGCGAGCGTGTCTTCCGAGACTCTTTCTGAGCTTTCTCTGGAGCCATGGAGGGCTTGGCAGAGAGCCGGGAGGGGTCGCAGAAGCCCCGCCGCATCCTGATGAGGCCTGCCCCCTCTCACTTCCCCCTCGGTGCACTGCCGAGCTTCCTCCCCCTGCCGATACCGGCGTGACTAGGGCGGGGGGGGGCGGAGGGGGGGCGGGGGCGGGTCACGTGACGATTCTCGCCCGCGCCGCCCAGGAGTGCGTAAAAACGGCCTGGGCGGCAAACGTGACGTGACCCGAGGGAAGGGGAGGGGGGGGGGGCTGGACCGGTCACGGGCCCCACCGCGAATGAGAAGAAGTGGGTGCTTCCCCGATGATGGATGCCAGCGCTCCGTCCGTCAGCAGGTGGACCGCCTCGGCCGCCTCTACGCGGAGACAGCCAGGCCAGCACCCTCCCAAGCCCGGCGGGGTTGGCGGAGCAAGCGCGAGTTGGTTTGTTCTTCCTCCTCCTCTTCCTTCTCGTCCTCTGCCCCCGCCTCCTCCTCCTCCTTCGGGGACTGCTCCCGTTCCTCGTGCCCTTCCCCTTTTCTCCCCCTCTCCTCCTCCGCCCTCCGCCCATGCCTTCCGCTGGCGCCCCCTCATGCCGAAGGGTCTACTCTTGAGCCCATCGTTTTCGAATCCTCTGTTGTCGCTGCTGGTCTTCCCCGCGAGCACGGCGTCAGGAGGGGCATGAGGCCCCAGGGCTTGTAGCCGTTTAGCCGCGGCTCTTGACGACTCCTCGTTGTCCTTCTACAGGACGAATACTCAAGATCAGTAAGACATAGTCTTGTGAGGATGCTTCATGTCTTGCATTCAGAGGATCTCACTTCTCTTACCCATCTCGGGAAGGGTGGCGGCTGCGCGCGGTGCCGCCCGTTGCCGTTCGTTGCCGCCCGCTGCCGTGGATGGGTGGCGGCGAACGCGCGGTGCTGCCCGATGCCGTCCGTTGCCGCCCGTATGTATTTTACTTCATGGTTGATGCACTTTACGTTACTTAATGTTACTATGATTTGTCTGGTTTTATTCGTCCTTGCTCTGCGCTACTTCACTTCGCTTTACTTTACTTGTACTTGATCTTCACCTACTGTACATTCCTTTGCGTCGGTTTGCGCTATCCCATGGTGCGTTACTTTATCTGTGTTCTACGTCGTTGCATGTGAGTTCACGCGCCTTGGCTTTTTTTACGTCAATTTGCGATGTGCTGTCTTACATTACCTTGCTTTACGTTGCTTCGATTTCTTGTTGTACTTCAACTTGCTTTACTTGCCTGTCAATTAATTCGGGTCAATTGGCCTTTCTTCTGTTTGAGTTGTTTTGTGTTGGGGTATGTTTCTAATGTGCGTTGCTTTGGTGTGCTTTGCTTGATGTCGGTTAAGTTTAGTTTATGTTGGCACACATCACTTTCGTTCACGTTGCTCTATTGTACTTCGATTGTACTTCACGGGGAGTTATCTGACTGGCGCGCAGCACATAGAAGTACACTGCACCGCGCAGACTATAACAACTTATTTGTGTGGGGTCCATGTTATTCGTTGTTATTCGCATGTGTTTCTCCCCAAATCCGCCTGTAGGAGGACATGCCCGACCTAATACTACGCTCGTCTCTTCTCCTCTGCCCTCCTCGTTCGGCTGCTCTTGGTGCTAGGTGCCATTGCAGTAGGTGCAGAAAAGAAAGAGAGTGGCCTGCCAGCACGTGCCCCACGGACATGTCTTGTTTCCCCACGTTTCCAGACACCCGTCGGAGGTAATTATGGGCGGGCATCGTGCGAGGTCCAGGGTCGACCGAACAGTGTGCCTCCAGGCGCCCTACCGCAAGTATTCTTCACGCATGTGTGTGCTAGTGCTGCTGCAGGGCTGGACCTAAACGCTGTTTTGCTGGACTTCGGCTGTGCTTTGTTTTTTCGTTTTGGAAAGGAGGTGCAGGAACACAGGTAGAGCAAAACGAAATCACAACGAAACCATAACGAACAACAACGTTTAGGTCCAGCCCTGTGCTGCTGCGCCGGCTCCTCCACTGGCCGCGGGGTGTGTGCCGACGGCCTCCGTGTGGTGCCGCGTGCCCGCCAGGCAGCTGCGCGAGGTGGCCGAGCTGGACACCACGGCGGCGGCCGACGCGGGTGCCGCCCGGCCTGTCCCGACTCCGCGCGTTGCGAGTCTCGTGATCTGCATTTGTGAATTTTGTACCCATCGTTCGTTGAACGTAAGCGTCTCCGGATCAAGATACTTCAGGCGCCTTACTATGTTTGATTGTCGTTTCGTTGCGTCCTTTTTGGGGTGGCGGGCGAACGCCAAAAATGCACGCTCAACGCCATCCCACTTCATGATTCGACCCGCTTCTTCCCACCGATGGGTCTGGCCGTTCTTCATCCTACACATCCGCGCACCTCCCTCATCCTCAAGATTTGGTTCTCCCCCCTCCTATCCCTCTTCCTCCCTCCATCCCCTTCGGCATCCTCCGCGCTGTACGGGTATCGCCCGGTTTCGAACAACATACATGTGGTGGATTATTGTATATATATATATATATTGTGTGATGGGATGTCGGCGTTTCGGAGATGTTTGTCAGGTGGTTATATGCGTATATCGGAGACGCCTACGGCGAATCACCGCCAACCCCTTCTTTTAGGATACGCACATGCGGCCAAACGTTTTGGCAAAGGTTGTTCACGCTATTGGATCATGAGCTCCCCCAGCCCTTGAAGCCCTTCGGAGAACACGTGGTGGATGAAGAGGAGAATGAGAAGAGGGAGTGCGAAGGAGGATGAGGACAAGGATGCGGAGACCTCCTGGGAGCTCTTGGGTCATTCTTGGGGCCTCCTGGGAGCTTTCTGGGGGCTTCTTGGAGACCTTTTAGGAGCCTCCTTGTTCCTCTTGACTACATTTGAGGGCTCCTTCGGGGCATCTTTGGCCGTCTCATGGCGTTCCTGGCCCGTCAGACCCCATCGGAAGCCGTCTCGGGAGCCTCTCTGGACCGTCTTGGGGCCCTCTTGGGGCGCTTCAGTGTCGGCTTGACGGGCATCTTGTGCATATTGGAGGCCTCTTGGGCCCTCTTGGGAGCTTCTTGGGCCGTCGTGGGGCCACCTTGGAGGCCTCTTTGGCGATGTTTGGGCAATCTTTGAGGCCGTCTTGGGCCGTCGGAGGGCCGTTTTGGTTGGAGTTTTCGTATCGTATTGCAGAGAGGAGCAGGAGCGGCCGCACGATGTCCTCCGCAACCGTTGGTGCTCCAGCCCTGGGCCTCGCGGGCTCACGCTCAGGGAGGCCTCGGTGCTCGGCGCCGTCCGCTCCACTCCGCACTGTGCGCTCCGCTTTCGGCGTCGCGTCCTGGAGATGGCCTGTGCCCTCGGCGAGCGTCGCCACGACGGGCGCGCGCCTGGAGGGCGTATGCGACGGGCGACCGGCTGCCGGCGGGAGTTCGAGGGCGGTGCGGTTTTGCCTTCGACGGAGAGCAGCCTGGCTCTCCACCGCCGTGGCCCTCGCCTGGGGTGGGGGCAGGCTCGACCTCCAGCGTCGACGGCTGTCAGATAATTAGTAGACGACGCGGCGGCGGCCCGGCCCAGGGGGGCGCCTAGCCCCCCTCAGCGCAGGAGTTGGCGACAGCCCATCCGGCGTCGTGCCCTTGCGTGCTAGTAGTGCGGGACTTCAACGTCAGCTTTGTGCGCCGCCGCGTCTTCGAGCAGGCGGATGGCTCTCAGGTGGACCTCCGCTTGCGGGTGGCCATCGACACCTGGACACCAGCCGACGACGTAATCCTCTCGTATCGGTCTCGCATCTTGGCGGACGGCCTCGCGCTGGACGACCTTGATGTGCCTGAGGACCTTAAGATCCTCGCGACGGGGAAGGTTCGTGGCGTTGGGGACGAGGACTCGCTAGATCCAGAGGACGGAGGATGCCGCGGGCGGAGCTGGCCACGGCCCGGCCGCAGACGACGACGACTTCCTGCCGGCCCCGGCCCCAGTAGATGGGGTGGCCCAGTTCGGTTTCATGGACGCCCGTGGCCAGGTCTGGATGGACGACGGCGCCAACGTCCTTGAGGCGTCCGACGACGACACTAGCGACGGCGACGACGTCGGGGTCGGCGAGGCCCGCACCACTGGCCACATGGGCGGCCCCACACGCTTGAGTTTACGCCGTGGGGCAGATCGAGTGGGCCATGGAAAACGGCGCACGTGGAGCCGAGGCAGCCGCGACAGAGCCCGTCGAGCCGCCTATGCCGCCGCGCCTTGCCCCGGAGCCCGCCGCCTACGTGCTGAATGAGCTGCTCCGCGCGGTGGCGCCGGCCGCCCGCCTGCACCGGGTGAGGCAGGCGCTGCCTGGTCTCGCGCGCCCAGCCGGGATCCACCCTGCCGCGACTTCCGTGCCAGACGTCTCGCAGCCCGCCGCCGTCATCGCCAGCGGCCCGGCTGCGGCGGCCCAGAGCGGCGCCTTGGGCACGCCGCAGGCGCTGGGCGCGGAGCTCGGCCGTGGCCCCGCCGCTCGCGGCGGCTTCGCGGGCCTCGCGTTCGCGGAGGCCTTGCTCACCGGGCTGGCGGCCGCCCCGCGCGACGCCGACCGCGCGGCAGCATCCGACCACCCGGCGCAGCGCCAACGAGCGCCGGAGAAGTCGGGGGTGGACAGACCCCCCACCCTGACACGTCGAGCAGTGGATTGTCCGCTCTTCGGTCCTCGAGGAGGCGCCGCGGCCGTCATTTTCCAGGCCAGCGCCCGCCAGGTTGGGGCCCGAGGTCGTCTTCACGGAACCACGTTTTGCGAAAGGGGGTTCTGTCCATCCCCGAGGAAGGGGAACGGGGGTGGGGCGGCCAGCAGCGGGGACCATCGCAGCTCGGACCGTGCCCCCGCGGCGCAATGAAGCTTGACGAGGCCGGGAAAGCGCTGGACCGCGGCCGTTTGCACGGGGTCGACCGCCGCTATCGTCCTGCGGACGGCGGTCGTCAGCGCGGCATCTTCCCCCTTCCTGCTCTCCCTGCTGTTCCCGCGGTGCCTGGACGCGGTATGTCTCGAAAGTTATTTCGACGGCGTCTTGTGCACGCTCACTTCGTCGCGTGGGGCAACGGTGCCATCGCCGTGCTGAAACATCTTTCTTCTCATGGCGTCTCACAGTCGGGCCCATGTACTTCGGCCCAGCGAAGCGCACAGGCCGCCATGGGAGGGCCCGACCCTAAAAGCCAGGCCGAGGGAACCACCACTCCCCCTCCTCGGGGCGTGGTGGACCCGCCACTTTGTCCCACCTCTCGTCATGTTAGGCGGACCCAGTCACGCGGCGGGGGGGAGGCGTTACATTATACCCCCCCCATCCGTCCCCCCCCTTTAATGCCCAATATCGCCGAAAATAAAGAAACGCGCTCTTGGAGTGCAAGGATCCAGTGTCGGTGTAGTCGTGATGGCGCCGTGTCGCAACGGCTTCGCTTCAAGGGGGCCCTGAGGGCATTTGGCAAGCCAGGATATGGGGGCCAGGAAGGCGTCGGGCAAACACGTGAACGGGCTCACGAGGGTACCGGACAAACTTGGAAGGCAATAGCGAAACACACCTCTTGTGAACAGCAACCGTGAATTTTGGGGCACTGTTTTGGGCACGCGTTTGGCACCGTGCGTGGTCCGTAACTGTCTTGGGCTACCACTATGGTGATTCGATCTTGCCTTCCCCGCCGCGCCGCGCCGCACCTCCACCCCGCTCGTTTCCCCTCGACCTCGGTAACCTCAGGTGGTTGGGTGCGGATGGGTTCCACCTCCCTTCAGGGGCCTGGGACCCACTCTCGGGCCACAACTGTACGTGCACCGGCCGCCACACACAGTCGGCATCACCCCTCTCTCCCTTTGTTTCAAGTAATTACGCGTCATGACATACGACTTGTCCGTCTCCCCCGTCTCTCTCATCACTTTTTGGGTTTGTCCTTCTTACCCTCCCCCTGGCGCTGGCCAGGAGGAGGGGTCGAGGGCGCGGGCAGCAACAGCTCAACCGTCCGAGGCTCGAACCTCGAAGGAGGAGGAGGAGCAGAAAGTGGAGGAGAAGGAGGAGGAGGAGGAGGAGGAGGAGAAGGAAGCGGAAGGGAAAGAGGAGGAGGACGACGACGATGAGGAGCAGGAGAAGGAGGAGGAGGAGGAGGAGGAGGAGGAGGAGGAGGAGGAGAGAGGAGGAGGAGGAGGGGGAGGACGAGGAGGAGGAGGAGCAGGAGGAGGAGGGGGAGGAGGAGGAGACGGACGAACGTAAGGATTCGAGGGGCAGAGGGGGGGTGATTTGAGAAAACACTGCCCCTCCCGCCAGGCGCCCTGGCCGACTTCGGCGGCGCAGAGGGTGGCGCGCCCCCCGTGAGCGAGGAGCAGCTGTGCGCCCTGCGGGCCCCGCCCCTGCTTCGGCCCCTCCCGTCGTGCGAAAGGGGGGAGGCGTGGGGGGGTGGACGAGGCGCGGGGGGGAGGGGGGGGGACAATGCGGGGGGGGGGGGGGGGGCGAGGCGGGGGGGCAGGAGGGGAGGGACGATCTCCAGGCTCCTCCTCCTTCTCTATCTCCTCCTGCTCCTCCTCCTCCTCCTCCTCCTCCTCCATCTCCATCTCCATCTCCATCTCCATCTCCATCTCCATCTCCATCTCCATCTCCATCTCCTCCTCCTCCTCCTCGTCCTCCTCCTCCTCCTCCTCCTCCTCCTCGGGAGGGACGCTCGGGGGCAGGAGGGGAGGGTCGATCTCCAGGCCTCCCAGATGGGATCAGAGTAGAGTGGGTCGGAGGATGGCGCCGCATCGCCGATGCATCGACGATGCGGCGCGATGCGACTCTGGTAGCAAGTCATGGGGGCTTGGTTTACCCTCTTAATTCCGCTTTCAGCGTCGACTAGCGTCGATAAGCGTCTGGGAGTTTTTGAGGTGTGCCGATTTAGCGTCGATTAGCGTCGATTCAGCGTCGATTTTGCGGCGATTGGCGTCGAACATCCACTGTCGTCCAGCGTCGATTCGCAAGAGCCGACAAGATGGTATGGGAGGCTCCTATGAGTTGCCACCGAAGGGGAGGGACGAGGAGGGGGGGGGAGGCAGGAGGGCAGGGGCACGAGGGGGGGGGGGGGCAACCTCAGGGGAGAGACGAGGTGGGGGGGCAACCTCAGGGAGAGGGACGAGGGGGGGGCAGGAGGGGACCAGATTCACGGAGTCGAAGCTCGAGGTTTTCGGGCAGTCTCGTCGGTGCCCCGCGGCGTCCCAGCCTCGGGGCGCTCTCCAGCGGCTGTGCGCCTCGTCGAGGGCGCTCCAGGGGGGCCCAGGTCGCCCCGAGCGGCCGCCGGGGCGCCGAGCTGGGGCCAGAAAACCCTGGGGGCAACGCCCGGCGCCGTGCGGCGGCGGGGAAGCCAGTTGCGTGAGATGATCCGCTTCCTCCTCCTCCTCCTCCTCCTCCTCCTCCTCCTCCCCCTCCTCCTCCTCCTCCGTAGCCATTTTGGCTCAAGATGCCATGTTCCTTAGGGGAACAAGTGGATGCCGCTAGTCCGCGGCGAGCAAGACCCCTGGGGTCTGGCAGTGCTTTTCTCCACACCTGCGCTCGAGTTGGTGGGTAAACGGAGGCTTTTCCCGTTCCTGCCCTCTCGATCGCCCAGAGACATTCATGGGCGGTGGCCGCAATGGCGGACAGCATGCCGTTCGCGGCCCCAAGAGGAAGATCAAGAAGGCTCGCCGAGGTCAGGTTGATGATGCTGCTGTCGTGGATGAAGGCGATGATCAGGCTGCTGGCTCAGACACTCCTGTCCATCCTGCTATCGGGGCTTCCTCCACTGCGGCCCCTGCTGCGGGGGATGATGATGACGAGGACATCAACAGCGAGGACGAATGGACGAAAGACGATTACATCAAGCAGCTGGCAGGGGACTACGTCTCCAAAAAGATGGCCGGGCACAGGGGCGAGCTCATTCGGGACCTCACCAAGGTGGTCTCTGCGACGGTCTCCGACCAGATCCAGGACTTCGCCGCTCAGCTTACTGAACACTCTCGTGCTGCTGGGAAGCTTGCGGAAGGAGTACAACAGCTTCCAGCTATGGCCAAGCAAGCATCCGAACAATTTTGTCCCGAGAAGCTGGATGCCTTCTACCGCAATTTCCAGGAACAGTTGGACGGCCACTCAGTTCGACTTCGTGCTGTTGAACACAGGTTGGATGGCCACGACTCTGAACTGCAGACACTTCGAGGACAAATTTAAGAACTCCGCGCTGCTCTCGCGGTTGCCAACGTCCAGCCCAAGCCACCTCTCGCCAGCGCTGCAGGCTTTGACAGGGGTACCGACGCAACGATCATCCGCATCGTGCCTTCCCAGCTGGTGGACTTGTCTGCGGCGCAGCAAATCATGTCGGACTGGATCGTCAGCTGCGGGATCAAGGCCGAGTTTTTCACGATTTCCTCAAGCGAGCAGGTCGCCAAACAGTTCACGGTCCAATTCTCTGGGGCAGTAGGTCCTGCGGCTCGCCGTGTCTCTCAGGTCCTCCGCGCTCAGCGGCTCGCCCCTGGACAATGGTAAAGATTCGAGGTCATGGCCATGGATAAGCAGATGGCGACGCCCCACATCGGCGCGGACAAGAATCCCCGACAAATCAAGCTGGATATCCAGGGCCGCAAGCTCAGGGAGGCCTTCAAGAACGTGGCCCCCGATAAGAGATGGTTCCTCGACCGTGACAGGGGGGCTACCTCATGGCGGGGTGGGACCCAGTGCTCCGCCTCTCTCCCAACCCTGAGAACATTCCCTCGGAGGTCGCATGGGCCGACAACATTGCGCAGAAGCTGGCGCTCCCGAAGGATCAGCTGGCGGGGGCTGTCACAGGCATCATCTCTCCGCCCGAAGCTGCAGAGTGTTCTCCTTAATGAATTTGTTGCAGCTATTCATGGACGGTTGGCGCGCCCCCCCGTCGTTCTCATGTCCCCCTTGGAATGCCCGCGCCCTTCTTCAGTATCATGGGCGCGCTGCTCGGCCGAAGCTTGCTTACCTCAAGAGGTTGAACTTCACGTGCGGCATTGTCGCCATCCAGGAGGTTCACCAGGATAAGAAGCAGCTCGCCGACTTTCTCTCCAAGGTTGCACCACGCGCGAAGGTCTACACCAGCTACTGCGAGGGGCCCGCAGCACGGGGCGGTGTCGCCACGATCCTTCCCGCTGAATGCCGCGCTGAGGTCTCTCAGCGATTTTTCGCCCCTGGTAGGGTTCTACGAGTAGCCCTCCAATTGGGCGGCTTCTATGTTTACCACCACAATGTGCACAACCACGACCTGGCCACTGCCCGGCTCAAGGGAGTGTCGAAAGTTTTGGCTGCTGACCTGATGGCGACTATGTTGTCATTCTTCATGGTGGCCTCAATTTTGCTCCACGTGCCCCTCTCCTTCTTCGCCAACCTCACCGCCGACCCGCCCAAGGTAAAGGGCAACGCGCCAAAGCCGCTCGCTGGACTACGGCGCTCAAGACCACGATGGCAACCTCCTCTGATGAACCTACACACTACGATCGCCACTCTTACTCCGTTTCCATATTGGATAGGCTCTGGCGCAGTTGACCTGGGTGGATTATGACACAACTTCCGGCTGAACCTGGGGTCATTGATTGTCCCGGGCGCCCCGCTCAGACCATTGTCAGCGATCATGTTGCGCGCGTGGTGGAGATCACGCAGCGATCTCTTCGGCCTGCTCATGCTCATAGAATCCCACGGCACCTGTTTGAAAGTGAACTCCAAAGGCAACTCAAGACAGTCTGCGACAGGCTCAACTATGCGGACAAAAGCCCGCCTCGTCAGATCGAGCTACACTAGTGGGCCATTCGTGAAGTGGCTGCCGATATTCGTGACCGGCTATTTTATCAGGCCCCTGAGGCCAACTCGACGCTCTTGCTACTTGCTCGGCAAATTTCTAGGTTCGCATGGCGGAACGACAACAAGCTGGCGCGCAAGCTTATGACTAACCATACTGCGGCCCATGATTTCTTAGAGATTCAGAACAACATGGTCCGTCTACGCCATCCTGCCCCTTTTCAACACTGGTGCGATGAGATACAACGTCGACATGTTGATCAACTTTGCACCCGACTTGAGGAACGGCTAGCCCGACTTCGTGCTCCTCAGGCTTTGCGACATCAGCTTGCTGCAGTGGAACGGCGTTCGGGCATCTGGTCCCCTCTGAACCGCAGACAGGTACTGCGGGCGGTGAAGCACCCGTCTGACTCGGCCTGCGTCTCCAGCGACCCCGCGACCATGACAGACCGCCTGATCGAGCACTGGGCCCCCATCTTTAAGTCCAAGCCGATCGACCTCTGCCAGGCACAAGCATACATCGAACAACACGTTCCGCTATTGGACTTCACTAGGGTTGATCCCCCATCACCCGCACTTCTGCGGCGCGTGGTCAACAAAATGCATTACTCTGAACCTGGACTGGGCTCCATCCCTCACTCAGCTTGGGCGGCTACTGACTCTGGGGCAAGCGTGCTATCGGACGGCATGATGTGGATCATGCAGGGCCAAACCCTTCTCAAAAGCCCAAATGACACGCTTCAAGTGTGGCTCCCCAAGGGCGAGGAGGTTGAGGACTCTCTGGCGACAGGGTGCTCCCGCTCCCCTTGGGCGGTTCGAGTTCAGGGCCTGCGGAATACGGACATAAAGGTTACCACCGCCACAGTCAACATCCAGTTCAGCAAATTGCTCATGGATTGGGCACCTCGATCCCAGAGGGGCTTCATCCCCAAGGGGAACTTTGGAGTCAACATTCACGAGCTCGACGTTGCAGCCCGCGCGTGGTCGAACCCCCCTGCGGCTGGCGCTGACCTTCCTGCTCTTGTTGCACTGGGCTTTGGCGCGGCCTGCCCGATCCTGGCGCAGTCCTTTATGCTGATGGTCTTTCGGCAAATGCAGGCCCCCAGCGCGTTCATGGCTATCTTGGAGCAGCTCTATCATATATTGGACGCGACCGTTATGAAGAACGGGCTCCCTACGTTTGCGTGGCGCACCTCATCTGGCGTCACTCAAGGATGATCACTCAGTGGATCGATATATGCGGCAGTGACGGCATGCTTTCTTTGCGGTCTTCAGACGCGGATGGAGGGCCCACGGCTCGGCCTTGCACGCGCCTGCGCTGACGATATTGGATGCGTCGTCGAGCAACTACAGGCACGCCGCATCCTCGCTGACGTGATGCAGACCGCGGGGCAGATCGCCACGCTCGTGCTCAAGCTCACCAAGCGCCTGCTAGCACCGCTCCACGCAGGCCCTGTCTTGGGCCCTGCCGCAGATGAGAGCTCATGCGGGCTGGCGCCATCTATCAAAGTTAAATTGAGATCTAGATTGGCGGGTACGAGTCCTCTCGCAGTCTGTCAGCTAGGCGGCCAACTGCACAGCGATAATTGCCCCCGTGCTCTCGCGCGGCGTTCAGGATCCCCCTCGGCACCTTCAACAGCTCGGCCTGGCTCCACCTGCGCGGCGCTGGTGGCCCATCGGTTGCGCCCTGGCTTGCCATGAGCATTGGAGCCCTGGTTAGGACGACCCGCACTACGCCCCCTGAGTTTCAAAGACTACATGACTGGATGTATCGCCAACACCAGCAGCTAGGCGATCTTCGCGTGCTATCTCAAATTGTAACTAGTGGGTGGCGGCCGTGCCCACCTTTCTGGCAATCAGAGGCTTTTGTCGAAACACTGGCCAGAGTCCGAGACTGCCTTGCCTCCAACATCTCCCCTGGCTACTCGCAGGCACACCCGGTCGCAGCCAATGCAGAAGCTGACCGATGGCAAGCAATGCGGCCCATGTCGGTGGGCTTGCAACGATGCGTTGCCAACCTGATCAAGACTCGCATCTCCCACCCCCCGCTGTGGACCTTCCTGCAGGCACGTCCCATCCGCCGCTTCCCTGAGTTGGGAGTAATGGGCGACTTTCCTGTTCCTGCACAACGCTGGGTACACATCTTCCAATATCTTCGCGGATGCTCACTGCCCCGGGCATTTGCTCACCTCAAGACGGTTGCCAATGGCTGGGCGACATCGCACATACTATTCCAGCCGCACGGGCGCCTCTCGTGCCGATTTGGTTGTCCGAGCGAACCTGATGCTGTTCACCACTACTTACAGTGCCAACCATTTCGTCTCCTTCTGGAGCAAGAGTTTGGCTACTCGGTGCCCTCCTCCCCACTGGGTCGTCTGGGCCTTATGGGCTCGGCTGTCGAACTGGACAAGATCGTCCTTGACGTTACGGTGATGTACTACACATATGTCGGTGCAGCTCACTCTTCAGCCGCTCATGTTTGGAGGCGAGAGGCGGCGAGCTCCTTTGTCAAGGCTTCGCACTGCACAGCTAGGTGCTACTACGCCATCGAGAGCACCCCTGGGGACAAGGTGTGCTGGGCGCGCGCGCGCCGTGACAAGAGAAACGGGCCACCCTGCTTTTCCTCACCCTCGTCTTCGTCTTCCTCGCCCTCTTCTGGATCTCCCCCACCACCATCGAGCGATGCACCCCGTCCCTCGCCATCAACACCGCCTATCGATATCATTGAAGGCGTATTTGCTCTTGCTGGGGGCTCGTCTTCATCGTGCTCTTCACCGAGATCGCCCCTGTCTCTCCCTTGCTGCATTCCGTCAACGCTGGCGCCTGCCCCCATTGCCACGGCCGCGACCACTCTGGGGGTGCCAGACGCAAGCTACGGTGACGACCACGGTTCTGATTTTCGGTAGGGCGGGAGACATATTGGTGAGGTGCTCCCAAAGGAAGAAGCTTGGCGATCCGCTTCCCGATGCTTTTCATCACCGGTTTGTTTTCTGGTGCACCCGCAGAGTATCACGGCTCAAGCTGGGATATCCATCGACTTACCGCCAATAATCGCCCTCGCTTTGGGATTTATCTTTCATCCCGTGGCTGTCGCCTATGGGGCCACTGCCAGCACTTCATTTACAGCAACGACGAGCACTCCTACTCCTTCGGTCGCGTCATTGCTGCCAGTGATGGGGCGCCCTGGGCCTACTACTGAGCCGCACACCCTCATTGGTGGACAGGAACTGGGCGGTGTTAGCGAGACGTCGACCACGTCTGCACTTCAGGATGTGGATATTCTTGCGATCTTTGAATCCTTTGTCCCCCCAGCGGAGGAGACAGGCCGTCCTATCGCCGCTCGCCGACAGGCGCTAGGGGACAGAACTGATTCGTGGGCTCGCTCGTGGATCCCCACGCTGATGGTGAACATGTACGGCTCTGACTTCGATCAATGGATGCAGTGGCGCCCTGACTATGTGGAGAACGTTCTCAGGTATGATGATCTTCAATTTCTTTGCGGTGGCTGGGCGGGCAGGCGGCAGCTCGCCCTTGACTGGTGTCTCAGCGGGTGGTACCGCAGCGCCATTGCACGTGAGCGATTACGACGCCGCCTCATTGTTTTATGGCCTGAGCATGGTGAGAAACGGACGCGGCGCCTCCGCCTTCTGGCCATGGCGCACCTGAAATAGCTCGGGTGGCGTGCCGACCCGTCACGCATGTCTGCAGCCAACCGCGACGACTACCCCGCGCAGATCACCTCGGCTCCACCGATCGCCCCTCCTGCGCTCATGCCGCATCTCTACGTTCTTCCGCACCTGCTTATCGACCTGACGTTCGAAGCTCTCGCCCAGGGCGAACCGCCGCCTGATGAGGAGAACGCCAGCATCGACCACGAGGGAGTCCCGAACCCCTCCGACTTGGATCTCGCGCTCATGGCGGAGGGCGACGGCGACGGCGACGACGCGTCGAGCCACGTGGTGGATATCGCCATGCGAGCTGATGAGCTCCCACCACATCCTGGGCCGCATCTCAGCGATGATGAATTTGAACGTCAGCTTCTAGGTGTTCTGCGACGCTCTCGTGATGATGTCGACGAAGTCCTGTCTGACGACCCCGCGGCTGGCTCCTCGGGCGATGCCCCTCGGACTGCGGCTTCCCCTGAACCCACGACGCAGAGCGCGAGCAGCTCTCCGGGTGTGTCAGCGAGAGCTGATGATGACTTTGATGCAACGATGGCAACACACGGTTCCGGCGTCATCTACCCTGGCGGCTCCGTGGGGGGCGCCCTTCTGCCTGCTCGTGCCGCTCCGCCTGTCCTGGAACATCCGCCTGTGGACCGTCCTCTTCCGGTGCCTGAAGCAGCCCCCGAAGATCTCCCTGGCCCACAAGATCTGGGTGTTCTACCTGAGGATCAACTCCCACCTGTTCACCCTGCTTCTGAACGCGCTCTTCATGATGATGGGGATGGCCGCGCTGAAGAACTACCACTACGTCGTGAGCCTGTTCCTGGCGTTCTTCCTGCCACCGCCCATGACTCCCAGATGAGGAACAAGTGTGCGCACGTGGACGTGATGTCGGGGGTGACTGGCCTTCTGCCGCGCACGTCGCTTGCTCTCCAACTGGCACTCGAGACCCTAAGCCGAGGCCTAGACCCGCGCCCGACATCGACAGCATCTACTGCGTCTGCTCCAAGTACGGCGACTGAGGGTGTCCCAGCGTCGGCAGAAAACCTCTCGCAACCTGACAAGATCACCCACCAGCAGATCGAATGCGCGATGCGGGCCCGAGACATTCTAGACCCTGTACTACAAGATTCTGATCGGGAGATGATACGGTGGATGCTACTACACCCTGACTCCCTCGTCGTCGCCCATGACGAACTGCCAGCAGACCCTGAGATCGTTCCTCTTCCTGCTCCCGACCGCGCAACTCATGCTCCGCCTCCTCACGGTGATGATCAGGCTGACACTTCGGCCAGGGGTGGAGGGGCCTTCCCCGGCTACACGCCCTTCGATCCCTCAGCGTTGGTTGCTGTTGGGGTGGTTTCGGTGGCCTCCCCGCCTGCGGCCTTCACCGACTTCGGCCCTTCGGACATGGAGAGCAGCGGCGCTGGTGACACTGTGCACGAGGATGATGGCACTGTTCCTGGTCGCGCCGCGCTGGTCGTCGACGCGGCCGACGGCTCTCTCGGCCCCTTCGCCCCCGCCTACGACGCCCTGGACTTCAACAGCGCGAGCCTGAGAGGCTCCGAGCTCGCGCGCGCGCAGCGGCCCATAGGCGGGGAGAGACGTTCGCCAGGGACGCTCGATCCTCCTCCTCCTCCTCTTTTTCCTCCTCTCCGTAGCCACTGTGGCTCAAGGCCGTGGCGCTTTGCTCAAGGACAGGAGTCTTCTGGCGTGGGGGTGGGTGGGGGGCAGCGGCCCCCGACAGCTTTCAGGGTCGCCGCCCTCTCTCTCTCTCTCTCTCTCTCTCTCTCTATCGCTCTCTCTCTCTCTCTCTCTCTCTCGCTCTCTCTCTATCTCTCTCTCTCTCTCTTTCTCTCTCTCTCTCTCTCTCTCTCTCTCTCTCTCTCCCTCCTCATAGTGTATTGCGGTCCATCCCGCACCCCCTTGCGCACTCCACTGACAGCCTCATGGCCAATGGCGCAAAGCTGCGCGCAGATTGGCATCGTCGCTCGTGTGCGCACAAGCGTGCTGGTGCGAAGTTGGTCAACTAGGGTAGTAGCCTCAAATGTGACGGGTGCAGATTCATAAGAAGGATTTGCGCGGTGGGTATGTTCCAGCAGCAGGCGGCCCCAGCATTCGGCCCAAGTCGGGTTCGAGCGGGGGCGGCGGCGATGCGTCCACGGCGGCCATGGCCCCGAGGACGAAGCTCGAGCGTGCGCTGCAGGAGGCGCGTGCTGAGATTGAGAAGCTCAAGAGGCAGCACAAGCAGCAGTCGACGGCTGCTGGCCGCAACTCAGCTGTGGGCACGCAGGTCGGTGGCCCCCAGGAAGGTGGTCCGCCCGAGGAGGAGCAGCTGGCTGAGAAGGTCAAGCTCCTTGAGCAGAACCTCGCCATCGCGCAGACGGGGGTCGGCTCGTGGGCGGAGGAGCAGCAGCGCGTTTTGGGTCAGCAGCTCGCAGAGGCGAAGCAACAGTTGCTCAACTCCAAGCCGCTCCACGCGCAGGCGCACGCGTTGGCCAATCGGGTCAAGACGGGTGCGGCGAAGATCGAGAAGGCTAAGGAGGCGCAGATTCGTGCTGCGGCGAAGCTGGAGCAGGCGCAGAAGGTGCTCTCGGGCGCCAACGCTCTGGTCGAGCAGCTGCAGCAGCAGCAGGTCGAGCTTGAGGGCGAGCTGGACACATTCCAGAAGCAGCTCGGCAGGTCCGCTGAGGCGGCGGAAGGGTATAACGTCGCACTGCCGTCCCTCGGCGTCTCCACCTCCGAGCGCGAGGCCATCGTTACGGGGCTCACCGAAGGCGGCGGGCTCAACTCCGATGCGCAGGAGAGGCTCGCCGAAGGACTCGGAGGGCATATCAATGAGCTCATCGTCGCCAAGAAGCCCAGGATTGCTGCGGCTGGTGGGGGCGTTCCTCATGCTGGTGGTCATGCTAGTGGTGAAGGGCCTGATGAGGATGGGGCATCTGTGTCCAAATCGGAGTGGAAGCCAGGCGACATTTCCATGGAGGAGTTGCAGAAGCTGGCGCAGCCTTTCGGTACGTGGGCAACGGAGGCGGAACTGCGTGAGCGGGCTCGGCGCATGGCGCGGGGTGGATTCATGCCGTTCTAAGATTATTGTGATGGTTACTCTCAATTTACTGACACAAGTCATGTGAAAAGGTAACATCACTACTATCAATGTCACGTCTTGGGGCTCGGCCGCAGGCTGTCTGGAAGGGATGCCCTCAGATGCGCAGGTCATCGCGCTGCAAGATCATCATATTCTGGATAATGATCGCCTCGCCAGTCTTCAGCGCGAGGTTTCGGACTTCGGATTCGAAGGTATCTGGGCTCCTGCATTGGCATCGTCAAGGTCAGATGCAGGTATTACTGGGGTTTTGCAGTCTTGGCGTGTACGCCGGTTACGGTTACGGCACCACCTTTTGCCAAGAGTGCGGTCATAATACCTGGGCGGTTGGTGGGCGCTCACACCCACTGGGGTGTTAATAAGGGGGCTGGTTGTTCTCTCATTGTATATGGTCGACTCGGTTGGTCTCAACGATGAGAATCGGCGCATCCTCGATGAGTTGGTGCAGTATCTTTCTTTGCTGAATGCCGCGCAGATCGATTTTGCTGCATGCGGTGATTTCAATATGAAGTTGTCTGAGCTTGCGGCTTCAAGTTTGGCGGACATCGAGGTGCTTTTTGCTGTGCCAAGGGCGGCGACCTGTCGCCCGGCGCAGGTCGAGAAGCATTCCATCACCGGCGATTGCCTCGTCGGGTCGAACCTCACAAGTCGGTCGCAAGTCGGGTTCGTGAAACGCGGGCTCAGGAGGGCGGCGCCACGGCGCCCCACCCCCCAGTCCACATGGAGTTGGCAGCCGACAACGTTGACATGAATGTGAGGGTGCTTGTCATGCCGAAGGGTATAGCGTCGACGCCGCCGATTGGCTGTGCCAGAAGTGTGGAAGATTGGGTTCCTGCGCTTGCGGCTATCAGACAGGTCTCGGGCGTCCAGGGCCTTCCGTTAGCGTGGGATGAGGTGCTTATTACTCTTGAGGGAGAGCTGCTGGATGGGCGCGACGTGGTCGGTCCAGGGCGCAATCTATACCAAGGTCGGGCGGGCGAGGTCGGGGCGGAGCTGAAGACGGCGACGCGGGTCCCCCTTGGTCGCCGCACTCGGCTTGACCCCCAGGCACAGGCGATGAAAGTTGCAGCCAGATGGGTCAAACACCTCATGGGGGCCAGGGCCTACATTCAGAGGTCTCTCAACGAGCTGCACTTGTCGGAGCTGGTCTGCCCGCCCCCGCCCATCTCCTACAGGGTGCTGGCGCTGTTTCTTCTGGAGGCATATGCTCATCTGGAGAAAATTCAGCGGAAGCGTTCCGTCCCCTCGCATTTGGAGCAGTGGGTAAGAGACTTTCTCTGCGGCGGCATCGGTGTCCTCAGCAGGGGCGGCTTTGTGGAGCTTGCCAGCAAGATCGTTGAGGACTGCCAGGAGATGTTTAACAAGGCGGTTTCGGAGAAGCACAAGGCTTGGGTGAAGTTTGCCAGAGACAGCTTCCAGCGAGGGGCCAGCCGAGTGCACGATACCACCAAGACGCAGGAGTTATAGGACGTGCTCTCTCCATGGCAAGATCGTTCTCATACAGCCTCTCCATGGCGTGCATGCGATCGCGAGATTTCTCCGTGGGCTAAGATATGGAAGTGCTATAGTTTACGGCCTCTTGCGTTACCTGGGGGCGCTCACTCCTGGCCGCAGCTACCTGACATCACCATTGATACGGTCAAGACGGCGTTGGCTTCCTTCTCAGTCAGAGCAGCGACTGGCCCAGGACGTGTCGGAGTGCGTGCTCTGCTCTTGTTCGCAGACCAAGGTCTGCGCCAGGATTTGGCATGGGATGGTCAGGCTGCCCAAGCCCAGTGGAGGGTGTCGGCTCATCACTCTCACGAGCAGCTTCATAAGGGTCTGGGGTAGAATCAGAGGTTAAGTATTCACGGTTTGGGTGCGGAGGCACCCCGGCGCTGACATCTGCGGGCTGGGCGCAGGGCGCACCTCTACCGACTCCGCCTCCCAGCCCAATTTGGAGACGGAGATCGCGGAGCGGAGCCTGCCAATCTTCATGCGCTCGCAGCGATGATGGACGCCTGCTCGTTTTTTGAGACCATCCAGCCGCAGGCGCTTTTGAAAGAAGCTCGTGCCCTGGACATGGACCTCAGGCTGGTATGGATGTTATTGGCATTATACCTTCAGCCGCGTCGGCTTCGAGCTTTTGGTTCAGTCGGTGAGTCGGCCGTGGCTTTCCAGGGGTCCTGGCAGGCTGCTCCCACGCGTGTTTCTTGGTCTCAGTAATGTTGCACAAGCTGCTGGAGTCTATCAGGGCGCAGACGATCACCCCGCGGGCGCTAATTGACGACGTCAGCATTCAGTGGATTGGTGGTGACCGAGACCAGCTGCGCTGCTTCTGGGCCGCGGTCACGCGATTCAGAGAAGGGGCTATGGAGCTGGGCATCATCATTCAGGTGGAGAAGTCAGGCTACAGCCCCTCGTCGTCGAGGGTGGCTGCGGAATGCAAGAAGCATGGTGATGCCAGAGGCTTGGTCTGTCGCAGATGGACCCGTAAACCCGGGCATGACATGTGTCGCAAAAAGAAGCCCAGAAAGCTCACGAATCAACGTACCGCTGGCATCATAGCGCTGCGGCGACGGCTCAGCATGCACCAGAAGGCAGCGGGCATGAAGGTCATCTGCTTATGGAAGACGGGTTTACTGCCAAGTGCTGGGCATGAGGCTGGCGTTGCAGGTCTCAGTCAGCATCATCTCAATCAAGTGAGGGCCGAGGCAGGTCGTCTCGTCGGATTGAGGCCAGGCTCTTCTAGTCTTGCGCTCTACCTGGCCACGCAGCGCTCCAAAGAGTTCGACCCCATCTACATGGCCACATGTTACCTGGTCTGTCGGTACGCGGCGACAGTATGGGAACGTCGAGTACCCATCACGCGTGGGCAGCCATCACTACTAAGATGGCCGGCGAGGGCAAGAATTCTTGGAGGGAAGCCAGGGGGGGAGGGAAGCCAGGGGGGCCATAGCCTCTGCGATTTTGCCTCTTTGGCGTATTGTTTGGTTTTTATGTTCTCGTCTACGGTCCTGGTCAATGACCGCGAGGAGCACTTCAATCTGTTGGCGGCCAGTCCGAAAGATTTGCGTTGTTATGTAGTTGAGTCAATCGAGAGGTGGCAAGGCAAGCGTATCTGATCGAGGTTCGAGCACCCCAACGGCGAACATACACAGTTGTGGGTCCGTGCTATGAGGCAGTGCATTGGTGCTAGAGGTGCCGCGGTCAGCGAAGGGCCGCGGGCTCCAAGTCTACGGGCTCACTGGTCAGGTGTACCGTGGACGAGGCAGGCCAAGTCTGGCATGTGGGCATGCTAGCGACACTCCTGGTCACAGGTTCTTCGGTTGCGAGCCCATCTTGGACCCTGAGGACGGCGCCGAGGAGGCAGGCAACGTTCTCCCTGAGAAGTTCACCGGCTTCTATGCCTAAATGAGGGACAAGGGTATGCAGCAGCTATCTGGCCCAAGTTGGGACGTGTTCGAGCTGGGGGTGCGCCTGCCCTGCATGCTGCCTACGCTTCCAAAGGTGCAAGGGCGACTGGACTACGCCAAGGGAGCTCTTTGGGAATGCTGTCTTCACGGACGGCTCAGGCCTAGCCCCCTCCATTCCTGAGATCAGGAGGCGCGGCTGGGCCGTGGTGCAGTTTGCGAGGCAGGGCATTCCGATCAGAGCAGCTTTTGGGCCGTTACCTGGGCCGCTGCAGACGGTTGGGGGATCCGAGAGATATGCTCTGCTGATGGCGACCAAGCTTTTTGGGGCCCAACCTGCAATGCGTTTTCACGGACTTGCTTGCGCTGGAGGCGGAGGCGAATTCCTGGGGCCCTGAGTTGGAGTCAGCTTCGGCGGTCCATGCCACGATTTGGCGCAGTCTCAGATCGCAGCCAGTCAGACCCAATGTCATCTGGATTCCTGCGCACAAGGACGTGGGCGATTACCTCGAGAAAGGCCTCAGCCCGCTGCTCCACTCGGGCAACATGTGGGCTGACTGGTTCGCTTGACGAGGTGCTGAAGTACATGCGGCGCCGAAGGTCAATGAGGAATACTACAAGCTCGAGATGAATTTCGCCAAGCGTGCTGCGGCCTACATTGGGTGGGTGATGCAGCGTGCCATGCGCGCTGGCAGGCGGGGGAGTTCCCAGACGTGATGCCCAAGCCAGTGGGGGCGCGCATTATGCCTGCGCAGGTGACCTCGCACTAGGTTGCGGAGTTATCGGATGGCTCTTTTCTATGCAGACAGTGCGCCAGACGTACAGCAGGCAACTCAATGGCGTCCCGGGACCCATTTCTCAGAACGCCGTGTCAGCCGTCGCGCCTCGACGCTCTACGTGCTGAGGCTATGGTGGAGCTTGGGGCGGCACCGCTTTTCAGGTCTCTGGGGCGGGCAGGTTCGTGATGGAGGCGCTGGGCGCGGCTGTCATTATTGAGGGCGCCGGCGACGTCGGCGAAGTTTTAGTGTCTGAGTGGGCTGAGGCTGAAGTCATTCAATGCAATGGGCATCACCTCCGCCGTGCAGGGCCTATGGCGTGCTGCGAGGTCTGCGTTGCGTGGTCAGCGGGGGGTGTAACCAAGCAATTGTTGGCTGAGTGTTGCGGTATCCCGAGTGGCGAAGGCAAGGGGGAAACGTTCCTCTCAAATACTGACTCGAGAAGACGGCGTTTGTTGAAGGGCCTGCGCCCCAAGGACAACGTCAAGCTCACCTCGCTCGCTGTTCCCCAAGGCGGGTTGGCGCAAGTTTCTGCGTCGGCGGCCTGATGGGCGTCTATCGTGTGTATGCACTGGCCCCAGGAGAACGACCCGTGAGGGTGTTCTGGCCAGTCGTTGGTGACGACTGCGCTTGCCTCTCCGAAGGCCAGGATGCAGGCCCAATGGCCTAGGGGGAGCGACCCGAGATGGTGTTCTGGCCAGCTGTCGGCGACGGCTGCGCTTGCTTCCCCGAAGGTCAGGAGCACGAGAGCTACCCGTGAGGGTGTTCTGGCCACTTGTTCGTGACAGGTGCGCTTGCCTCCCACGACTCCTTTCCCAGCGGAAGCGACCCGTGAGAGTGTTCTGGCCGCCTGTTGGTGACCGGTGCGCTTGCCTTCTGTTGGGAACGGACCTCGGACATCAGTTTCGCGCTACTATGACCCACTGGGGAGTGCACGCTGATGGCCTGTCTGGCCCTTCTGGGGGCAGGCCGTGCTGTATGATGGTGCTATCGCAATGGCCCGTCTGGCCCTGTTTGGGGGCGGGCCACAGTGAGGGTCTCTGATGCGTCTGTGGATACGTGAGGCTACTAACGTCGTCCTAGTGTGCGTGCCGACGGTGTTTGATCGTTGGTCGTTGTGTTTCGACGGTGTTTGATCGGTGTTTGATGGCTGCGGGTCCTCAGTCACCTTGCGAGGATCGGCAGCCGCTACATATTGCCCGCTGATCCCCAAGGGAGAGCTGGAACGTCGACGAAGGCTAAGTGGCTGGCCTGTCTGGCCCCGCTTCGACGACGCATATTTCATGGCAACCATGCTCTACTTCCTCCTGGTGGGCATCGGCTTCGTTATTGCCCGCGTGGCCCCCCTTCTGGGAGAGCGGGAGCGTCGCCGCCTGCTACGCTGATGGCCCGTTTGGCCCCTCCTGGGGGCGGGCCCATGTTGGAGTTGGTGGCGGGCGCCTTCTCCGTCCTCGCCTGAGGACGCAGCCGCCTTGGCCGTCCCGCCTGCTGTTCGTCTCGACGGACGGCTGGGCCAGGCCTCGTCCCTCGTCCCTCCTCCTCCTCCTCCTCCTCCTCCTCCTCCTCCTCCTCCTCCTCCTCCTCCTCTTCCTCCTTCCATTCGCTGCCCCGCCTCCCCCGGTGTTCGACCCGAGCGCTGGGGCCCCCCAAAGGGGCCGCGAGCCCAGGCGTTCCCCTCTCCTCGCCGTTCAGGGCGCAGTGATCGGCGAGCCTAGCATTGACGGGCATGTCCTCGCACAGGAGGAAAATTCAAACATTGTACACAATAGTCGTGGGACGAATGTTCGAGCATGTTGTGACTATTTCGAATATTGTTTAACGATTCTTCATTTTCTTCCTCCAACATCCGCCTGTAGGAGGACATGCCCGACCTAAGCCTGGCAGAGAGTCATTCGTATGGGTGACAAATCACAGGAGCCTTGCATATCCTCGTAATCCCGTTTCCTAGAGTACACTTGCATTGGCTAGCGTCTGGTAGTCGATGAGATAGCGGAGATTTAGCGTCGACTAGCGTCGATGTGGCGTCGATAAGCGTCGACCAGAGTCGACTCGCCAGAGCCAAAAAGATGGTACGGGAGGCTACCATGAGTTACCGCAGAAGGGTCAGGGGTCGGCGAGGCTAATTTTCAAGCAGTGGCGAGGCCTCCTGGCTGTGATGGGTTGTCTATAAGCCCACCAAGGTCTAACCTTTCGTGGCCTGCGCCAGGTGTTTTCAGAGCGTGTCTGGGTGAGACAGTCGTGCTTTGATCATTGAGCTCTGTGCTCCAAGTGCAGTCTTTTGCTCTTAGAACGCTCTTCTGGTCTAAGGTCATGTCGTGGTAGGCCTGTAGGAATGTCGGGCCGGTCGGCCCATGTTCCTTGGCAGGCTGTCAGCGGTCGGCGAGGTTGGCTCCAGGATGACCCGGCCAGCATTTCGAGCCGCCAAGTCGTCCATCGCGACGAGTCCTCACCACGGAGGGAGTGGTCACAGAGCGAAGTACGGTCAGGAGTTTTGGCTTAGCGTGTCGCTTCGCCTGTTCTGGCCCACCACGTTTCGGCGCGACACGCTAATTATCCACGCCCCCACTCCCAAGAGTGAACGTTCCGAGCCTTGCCCAGCCTCCCACCCCGCGGAGCGGAGCGACATGCTATCAGCTTGTAGGGCAAAGCGTGTCGCCGGGGGCATCGCCGCGACACGCTAAGCAAAAGTTCCTGACAGTCGTGTGTGATCGGAGTCCCCTCGCGTTGCCTATTCGGGGAGCATTGCCTGTCCTTTAAGTCGCGGTCCTCTCTTCTAGCCAGCACGGGCTCGACGCGGATTTGACGTGGTCTCGTCGTTGCGCTGGTTCGACGTGGGCCGGAGGTGAACATAGAGACCGACACCTACATGTATGATATGTTGAGACGGTTACCGACAGACGTAAACACATAATGATGTAGCGTTACCGCAGACATGTTTTAATGTTGTGTGTTGCTGGAGGTCCTTGTAGTGCCACACATGCGCATGCTGGATACGATGACTGGCAAACGTCCAGGAAGGCTACGATGGTGGATTCGATGACGATCTGGAGGGCGTTCGGACAAGGCATGGAGAATATGAGACGGTCTGCTACAGGGAATCAATGTCAGCGCTGAGTTTCTATGATTCGCTTCATTTTGTCCAGCCCCTCGCATGATGAGAGGCCAAAGTGGCAGAGACCGAGCAGATCATCGAACGGAAGGACAAGGACTGTGCATTGTGTGTGTCGCTCTATTTCTTGTGATGACAGTTTTGAGGAGCGGCAGTTCCAGCCCGACCATGTTGGTATGCGTCTGTGGGATGGTGCCCGCAAGTATCGCACGATCAGAGGGGGGTCCAGAAGTACGGCATGGGCGTCGGAAGGAAATCAGCTTTGGACAGTGTCATAGGATTGCTGCACATCGCGTGCCAATATCATGTTGCGTGCCCACTCCATGTAGGAAGATGTGACAGTCGCAGAGGCGCACTAATGAAAAGCAATGCAAGGGCAATGCCGCAGTACCCAGCAGGCATACCCAGAGTTATGTGTTGTTCATAGACCTGCATTTGCAGCAGTTGGCAGTGAAGGCAGTCGAAATTGGTCAGAAACAGAGCAGAGGAGAACGAGTCGTTGAAGAACCGCATCCGGAAGCTGGCCGTCGCTTGACCGCGTTGGAATTCTCTTGCTGGATGGCCGCCACTGTCTGTTGATGTGCGGCAGGTTCTGTACCCCATGTGTTCTCAGAGCGGAAGTTTGATGTTTGAATGTTGTCGGAGTTGTGTTTTTCTCTTCTCATGGTTTTCTTTTCTTTCTCATGGGATGTCCCTCTCCCTATCTTTCCCTCTCTCTCTCTCTCTTTCCCAATGAGTGCAAACTAACATGTATTCATGCATGTATGGCTCGCTCTCTCTCTCTCTCTCTTTCTCTTCCCCCCTCTCCCTCTCCTTTCCCTCTCTTTCCCCCGCTTTCTCCAACTATCGTTCCTTGTCTCTTCTCTTTCCTTCTATACGTTTGTCGTTGTATAGTCTGGGGGTAATGAAGCTATCTCTTTCTCTCTCTCCCCCTCTATCCATTTTTGTTCCTGCATCTCCATCCTTATATCGTCCTCTCTCAATCCCCTTGCCAGGGCCACTCCTTATTATTGTGTCCCTTCCCTTCTTGCTACTTCGCACCGCCTCGTTCGTGGTGCGATGCTGCTTCCCACGTCCACTCCTCTCTCACCCGTGCTGACTCCTTGATGGCCAGCGGATCAGAGTGGGCCTGGGCGCCTCGAAAATCTGGCGCGTGCCAGAGATTCCCCCGATCGCCGCAAACGTGCGTGAGCGCCCTGCCCACATGTTACCATCCTGTGAGGCCCCTGAATTGAATATACGGTAGGGGCCCGACCACAAGATACCTTCCACAAGAAACCCAACCCTGAGACCCCAGGACGTCCATTGATTTTGGGTGTGGGAACGTCGCGCTTTCGACCGACAAACCATCGAGACCCAAGAAACCCAGGGCACCCTGGAGGCAAGCAAGGCGTTTCTTGGCATGAGTCTCCACTGAGGGACATGCAGTGGCGGGACACGGCATCTAGTTTTGCAACATCGAGGCAGAGGCAGCAAAGCGAATGACGACCGATATTGGAACCATGATTGCACGGATGTTCCGTGGCCGCATGACAGAAAGCGGCCGCATTTGGCGTGATTCTGCAACGGTTCGTTGATCCGCGGACGACTTGTGTGCACCGTACCGCGTTGGCGTCTCCCGAGGCGTCGTCAAGTTTCGGCCCAGGACTGGTACGGTGCATGATTTCTCAGCCTCTCAGAACTGAGCTACTATGCACCGTACGGCGTTGGAGCGGGGCCTGAAGGGAGTCCCGAGCATGGTTTTGCGCATGGGTGCCGTCCTCGTAGTTCGTCAGTCTGTTGTTTACCGAACTGCGCAGCCCCGCCACGTCACCACCCTGCTGGGCCCTGGCCAGCCCCTTTTGGCAGGGCTGTTGACCATGCACCGTTGTTCATCAGTCCGAGACCCGGAGCGACCGGAAGCATTTGGGGGGGGGGTTCGGACGGGGCTGGGACCAGGATAAATCATTTCGGAACGCTCTCGGAGCGTCCCGAAATGCAGTCAGAGCGTCCCAGAGCGCGTTGGAACGGCCGCGGCGCCCAATGCATTCTCCAGAACCGCCGGCCAGCTCTCTGAGATCCCCGCTTCTTTCCGATCCGATGTTGTCCTGGTCCTGGCCTTGTCGTAGGCGGGGGGGCTTGAAGAATGAGCGTTCGTTCTATCTTTGGGAGCGGGCAGTGCGAGAAGCACCAGGGCAGACGGCCATCGCTCTGCCTTGCTTGCTAGAGTCGCGGACTGTGAGCGCACGCCTGCTGGCCAGCGCAAGGTCGCGGGCGAGAGAAAGCGATGTAGCGAGCGGTGGAAAATATGCTCGCGTGCTCGTGCAGATCACATGCCAAATTTATGGATGCAGCTCCTGCGAGATAAAGTTCAGCTTCGGCGCCGGTATCTCCATAACCAGAATCGTAATCATGCTTAATCGCGGGTTCAATCCAGGCCGATCCAGCTCAGTGGCATTTCAATTTGGCTTTCTGACTCTCCATCAATATTGTAAAGGCCTCCCTCCCAGGACTTGCTTCCCAACACATGCCAAACCTGCGTGTGTGTGGGGGGGGGGGCGCGTGGAAGGGGGGGGGGCGGGAAATGTGCCCTCCTTCACCAGGCGTCGGGGCGTTGGATCGCATTTTAGGAGGTGGTTCCTCCGCGCGGCGGGGTACTGGAAGGGAGCTTCGGGCAGTCTGGCATAGGGGGGGTGCGTACATTGAACGATTTGGAGGAATTGCCCAACTGTGCGACCGGCTATACACAATAGATTTCGTTGTATACGTATACACACATACATATATATATATATATATATATATATGTATATATCAGAGTGATGGGGCCGAACGGTCATTCATTGTCCCTGGGTGCGTGGCTCTGGTGGGGATCCGTAGTGAGGATTCTGCTTGTGGCGTTGTTGTTGTTGTTGTTGTTGAACATTATTACTTCTAAAGAATAATTATTGTTGGGACCCCTGGTGCACGGCCCCCTCGCCGCGCCTAGGCCGCAGCCATGTTCTCATCATTTTCGTGAGGAAGTCTCTGGCAAAACGGGTTGGTCCGGATCCGGTTGTTTTGTTACGGGCGGTTTTCCGTTGCAAAAAATAAGGCAAAGTGGACATTTCTTGTTCTAACATAACCAAACTTCAAGAATCCCCTGCAAAAAAATAAGGTAAAGTGGTCATTCGCGCGCGCGCAAGACGAAATCCTTCCAAGACCTTAGTGTTCGTAGCGATTTTAACATACAAACATCAAACAAACCAATGTTTTTTTTTTTTTCAAAAAAAAAAATGTCAAAATTTCATCCCGCGCAGGTTTCCTATTCTAGCGTCAGGAACACGTTACCACCAAAAACCAGTACAGGTGTCCAGTGTTGGAACAGGGGGAAAAGTCGTATATTAAGCTAGCGTCCAGAAAATGTTACCACAACAAGTCACTGTACCCATGCGCCAGTGTAGTAGCCACGGTCGTCCGCAGGCCACGAAGTGAAGTGTCCGAACGTCATAGGGCGGGAAGCTGGGTGTGGGTGGTGGCGAAGAGTCGTTTGGAAATGTGGTAGAGCTTGAACCGGCCCCCCCACAAAGTGGGGGTATTGGCGGGCGTCGTATGAAAACCCTGGCACTGGTGAGAACGGAGTGTCCCCACGTGCTAGTAATTGTTGTTGTTGTTGTTGTTGTTGTTGTTGTTGTTGAATTCTCATTCTTGAAGAATAATTATTGTTGATCCCCCCCACCGGTGCACATTGATTTTTTTTGATTCAAGTGCCACCCCCGGGGCTCGCACTTGGTTTTTTCTCAAGGAAAGTCTTCCTGCTCAAACTGTGCCCCTGTCCCCCGGGCTACAACAACAACGGCTCCCGCCTGAGACATCCTCGATTTTTACTCAGGACCCCCGCTCCCGCCTGAGACTTCCGTGCAATTTACTCAGGAAAAGCGCTCCCGTCTGAGACTTCCTCGCAATGTAATCAAGACCCCCGCTCCCGCCTGAGACTTCCGTGCAATTTACGTGGGAACGGCGCTCCCGCTTAAGATTTCTTCGAATTTTAGTCAGGACCCCCGCTCCTGCCTGACATTTCCGCGCAATTGACTCAGGAACGGCGCTCCCGCCTGAGACTTCCTCGCAGTTTAGTGGGGACCCCCGCTCCCGCCTGAGACTTCCGTGCAATTTGCTCAGGAACGGCGCTCCCGCTTGAGACTTCCTCGCAACTTAGTCAGGGCCCCCGCTCCCGCCCGAGATTTCCTCACAATGTACTCAGGACTGCGCTCTCGCGTGCGACGTCCTCACAAATTATTCTGGAATTGCGTTTCGGCGCTCAGGAACCACGCACGCGCCAAGGACGCCTTCACAACGTGGTATCTTCCCTCTTCCTTCGTCCTTCCCCCTCCCCTTCCTCCCACTCTCCCTCGTTCTTCCCCTCCTCCTCTTGCAGGGCCCGCGCCAATTCCAATGGCGGGCAGAGAGATGTACGCCCCCGAAGGATTGTCCGCCCGTTCTGGTTTGCCCGTACGTCCAAACCCGCCGGCCCCAGCAAAGAGAAATAATCCCCCCGAAAGGGGTGTGATCGAAGACGAAGAGGGCGGGCTTCGAGGGTGTAGGGCATACGTGTTGAATGACTCGCGGGCAAGTAAGAGCGTACAGCCTTAAAATGGTTGTTGTTGTTGTTGTTGGAAATGTGGTGGCGTCCGAACGTCATAGGGCGGGAAGCTGGGTGTGGGTGGTGGCGAAGAGTCGTTTGGAAATGTGGTAGAGCTTGAACCGGCCCCCCCACAAAGTGGGGGTATTGGCGGGCGTCGTATGAAAACCTTGGCACTGGTGAGAACGGAGTGTCCCCACGTGCTAGTAATTGTTGTTGTTGTTGTTGTTGTTGTTGTTGGTGTTGGTGTTGTTGTTGTTGTTGTTGGTGTTGTTGTTGTTGTTGTTGTTGTTGTTGTTGTTGTTGTTGTTTGTGGTCGTCGTCCCCCCTGCGACCCACCCCGCGACCCTCCCGCGACCCACCCCGCGACCCACCCCGCGACCCACTCCGTGACCCCACCCGTGACCCAGCCCGCGACCCACCCCGCGACCCACCCGCGACCCAGCCCGTGACCCGTCCGCGACCCACCCGCGACCCACCCTTCGACCCACCCCGCGACCCACCCTGCGACCCACCCCGCGACCCACCCCGCGATCTACCCACAATGCTTTAACGAAAAAATCGGCGCCTGTGGCGGGCTCGATGCATAATTTGTAAAAGTTAGGCGCCTGCGACGGGCTTCTCCAGAGCCTCGCAGACTGAGGGCGTCCTCTCAGCCCCCTCACTCTTGTCCGTAACTGCGGGGTGTTACGTGTGTATATATGTATTTTTGTATATGTGTATATATATATATGTATACATATATATACATACATACATATGTATATCAACATCTACACATGTGTCCGATGAGACCTCGCGCCAGATCATTGAGTTCCTGACCACCTCTGGGCCACCTGAGGGGCTCCCGGCCTCATGCCTCATCGTCTTCTTCTCGTCTTATTCTTTACCTCTCCTCTCCCTCTCGGACGGAAAGGAAGCGGTGCCACTCGACGATTTCCCCTTCTTCGCCCTGTGCCGCTTTGTGACGGCCTGTCGAGGCCTAGAGTGGGCCGCGAGAGGCCGAACACTATGAAAAAACGCCGCCTCTACAGTCAGCCCGCATAGTAAGGGTGGGCAACTTTCTCAAGGATACCCTCGCATCCTTGCCTCCTCGGCCCATCCTTGGCCACTTTCGTCGGGCGCGCCCCGCTCGAGAAGCCTCGACATGAGCACCCAAGGCCCTTGCCTCCTTACCGCGCATCCTTGCTGCACGGGTTGACTGCATCGAGGCCCAGAGCGGGCCCTGCGTTGCCGAAAACCATGAAACACCGCCGTCGCCAAGCGACGCGGGATGTCGCGAACTAGAACCACGTTCGCCGCGGCGATGCGCGCGGCCACGGGCAGCGCCCTCCCTCGGCACCGCCTCGGCGGCACGCGCCGCTCCCTGCGGGGCCGCAACAGCAGCGCTGGCGCAGCCCATGCCAACCGAGCGAGCCACATGGGATCGCCTGCGCGGCGGGCGCAGGGGCTGCAGCGGCGACAGCCGCGAGCGCCGAGCCCACCGAACGCTCCCCGGGGACGCGCGCCCCCGCCGAGAGGAGCGCGCCTTTGGCGGCCGCGCCCGGCGCCGCGGGGCCCCCCCGCGGGGCCATGGCGGCCGCGCCCGGCGCGGCCGGCGAGCCCGCGCCCGGCGGCGGTGGCGTGGGCCGCGGGCCGCGCCCGCTGCGGCGGGCGCCCGCGCTGCCCCTGCGGCAGCACGCCCTGAGGCGGGCCGGCCACGGCTGGATCGGACCCAGACTCTCGGGCCGGGCGAAAGGGGGGGATTGGGAAAGGGGGGGTTACGAAATCTGCTGCATGCAGCTGGTTTCGGCTCCACGAGGGGCCCATTCCTCGATACATGGCCGCCTCCGGCGCCGGGAGGCGCCGGGAAAATCAGCTACGTGAGCTGATTCTCAAACCCCCCCTTTGCTATCCCCCCCTTTCGCCCGACCCGAGACTCGCTCAGCTCGACTAGACTCGAGCAGTGGCGAAGCGTCCTGGCTCGCCTACAGCCCTACCAAGCACTGTTCCAAGAGCTTCTTGGGGTTCCCACGAAGTGTTCTTAGAACATTTCTGGCGGAGCCTGTCTGGTTTCAACACATCAAGCTTAAGTTCTCAGAACGTTGGCACGAACGAAATGGGTACGGAAAGAATGGGTGCGATGCCCAACAGCTGTTCCGGCTCATTTTGCACAGGACTCGCTGTCGGTGTCGCCGCGGCCTGTGTCCATTCGACACAGAAGGCCGCCTGCCCAACAGCGGGCGCTGTTGGTTTGGGACAACATTTGTTGTTGGGCATTGTACCGTTTTTTTCAGTACATTCGGACCGAGGTACAAGATCGAGGTCGATTCTGGGAGGGTACCCAAATGTTCTTCGTGTTTGTTGGATGTTCTTGTGCATCCTGTGGGAGAGTACCCTCGAATTTTTCTTCAGTTTGGCCTTCGGAGGGTCTTGTGTTCTTGAAGGATGTTTTTCTGTCTTAGGTCCCGCTGTACCCACTTCGGGCGTCCAAGAAACGTAAGAGTGAAGTTTCGCCGGAGTGACCTTTGGTGCGAGCCCAAGGGGGCCCCCCGATCGCCGAACGGCATGCGGTTGTAGCGTCTTCTCGCGCGCGCGTGTTTGGTCTCCCCGCGGCCCCCAACTCTTACCCAGGGTCACTCTTGGGTGTAGTCGAACCCAGACGCTCAGAGGAGGAAAAGTTACCCATACCGCTACCCTTCGCCCGTTTCCCCGCTGGTCGGCCTCCTGGGAGGCCCTCGTCGCCGCCGCTGGATGCGCCTCAGAATCCTGGTCCGAAGGCACCCCAGGAGAGGACCGGGGAGCAGCGGCATGGATATTTGTTCGCTTCCCCACGTGAACAAAAAACAGCGACAGGATGGTTTTCGAACGTGTTCGTCCTTCTCTCTGAAGCTTTTCAGCCTCGGGGTGCTTTCCTGCTGCTGCGCTTGACCCGACAACCAACCCCATTGAGTCATGAGAAAATCGCGACGAGAGGTTTTGGGGAATTTTCTATTTCTCGGGGCCCTCTCTAGTCCTTGGGACCGTCAAACAAGGACTCAGGATGAAAGTCTGGTCCTAGAGCAGGGGTCCCCTATCTGCGGGGGTCCACGTTGTGAACAAACATACGACGTCTGAGTTCTGCGGAGGAGGGAGAAGCGACATCACCACCACCAGGTGTGCCACCTCCAGGGATGAGGTCCCCACGATGCGCCGTCGAGCTGGGGTGGGAGACGTCTCGAGCTGGAGGGGGCGGGGGGGACACGCCATCGAGCACCCTCCCTGGCGCCTCTCGCTGGTGGTGATGGCGTGGTTTTTCCCAGTTTCTAGCTTGAAGCCCGTTGTGGTCCTCACCGTCCTGACGGAGCCCATCGGCTCTGGCACCCCGTCTCTCAGAAGCGGAAGAGGTACCAATAATACCGCTACCCTTGGCTCGTCGCCGCGGCTGGACTCGCCTCGATGTTTTGGATGTTGGTCGGAACACACCCTTCTATAGCGAGGTCTAGGGAGTAAGTCGCGGTATCTGTACCTTTCCCCCCCCTAGTCTGAGGTCCGGGGGTTCCGAGGTGGGCTGGATCTGTGGTGGCCGGGGCCAGCATGTCTCTCAGATCTAGTGGCCCCCTCTTCTTCATATCCTTCTCCTCCCAGCTCGATCCCTGGCCCCCTCGATTTTCCGCGCACGTGCCTGGCCCTCCCTCTTCCGCGCACCCGATGGGGAGGCCGTGGGCACGATGGGTTCGTGCCTCCTGGAGGGGTGGGGATCACTGGTCACCCAGCTGTGGCTGGTCGGCGAGGGCGGCGTGGACAGCGGCAATGATATTGAAGATGCCTACGGCGAGTCACCGCCGCGCCCCCCTGCCCTCTGGAAGCTGCCGTGTCGTGGAGTGTCGAGCGACGGCGCAGCCATGCTGTCGCTCCCCCTTGCTGCTGGGGAGAGCACGCGGGGAAGACTGGGGAGGGGCCCTCGTGGGCCGTCTTGTTTTTGTTTGTTGCTCCAAACTTTGTGAGGCGCACTCAGAGGCTGTATTGGGGCCTCTCTGGGCCGCATTGGGGTCCTCTGGGGCAATTTAGCGCCGTCGCGTGGCTCTCTTGAGCCGTCTGGCCGTCTTCCTCTTGGGCCTATTTGGACAATCGTGGACTAGTCGTGGGGGCCTCTTGGGCCATCTTGGTAGAATCCGAAACACGTTGAACAACCATTGTTGTGTTACTGGTTTCGGATTTTGGTAACGACCCCAAGGGCCAAGACGGCCTCTTGGACCTTCTTGGGGTAATCCTGGGCCGCAGTGGAGGCATCTGGAGCCATCCTGGAGGGCATCGTGGACCGTCTTGGGCCGTCTTCGAGGCCATCTGGGGCCATCCTGGCCATCTTGGCGTCGAGTCGTTTAGATGTTCCGGTCGTTCAAGGCGGCAGGTGGGTTGGGTCGAGGGCTTTTAGGGACCATTTGGAATGTCCAAAACGGGTTCGAACGCTTCGGCACGCCAAACAACCCTCCGCATGCTACGGGAGTGGACATCGTGGCCTTCAGACCATCAAGAGACTTCTGGGATGCCTCTTGTGCTAAGTCGGGCCTGTCCCTCTACAGGGGGAATATGCAAAAATAGTCAAAGAATAGGCTGGGGGCGATCTTTATTACTATGTTTGACTATTTTTGCATATCTTTGCGTATTTATAATTTGTTGTCCCAAATCCGCTTGTAGGGGGACACGCCCGAGTTAACTTTGGTGGCCTCTTTGGGGCCTCTTCGGGCCGGGGCCTCATGGCGGCATCTTGGGGGCCTCCTGAGGAGCTCCTGATGGGCTCTTGGGAATACACGACGCTTCGCGGGGGACACGACCAGACGGGCGCTCCGTCCGCTGGGCCGTCTCAGGGCCCTCGGGGGCCCTCGGGGCTGTTTGCGGGTCTCCCGGGGCCTTCGTCGGCCATGTTGCACCTTTCCAGGGCCATTTTGTTGGAGCGTATTGCGCCGCTCTTGGGGTCCTTTTCGGCTGTGTTTGTGCGATATTGGGGTTGGACGTTTTGGAAGCAATGGCAACGGAGAGTCCACATGTTTGCTTCATTTGCTTAACAGCATCAATGAGTTCAGTCATTTCAGGGTTTGGGGAGCCTCTTGGGGGCTTGCAGCTGTCGTATGGCCTTGGAGCCTTTCTAGGGCCTCCACAGGCTCCCTTCGACATTCTTGGCGCCCTCCAGGACGTTCTCGGGGCCGAGTCCTGTCGTCTTGGGCCCGCCCCCCCGGGGGGGCCAGCTTCAGTCGCACGACGAGGATGTCGCAAAGTGTTCGAGGCAGACGTGGCGTGGCCCGGCGGTGTTGTCGGGGGAGGGATCGTCGCCTTGATCCCTCCGGGGGAGACGATCGGGGGGGGGATCCTCCCCCCTACCCCCTATCGTTCCCCCTGGCGGACAGGAGGAACGCATCGACTCTCAGGCGCCCATTGATCGCCTTTCGGTGAAAGCCCTACTCCGCCCAGGAGCACGCGGATTTGCCAAAGGGGGCTCGCCGACCTGTCCGCGATGTGTCGCCGATTCTAGGTTGACATTTCCGCCCCCCCGCGCCAGTCCCTCCCCTCCCCACCCTTGCCCCTCATTCCCGTTCCTCACCTGGTATTAGATCGGGCCTGTCCCCTTACAGGGGGATTCTGGACGAGAAGTAAATCAGTCCCCCAAAAATATTCCAAAATGGTCAAAGAATTGCTAAGACTGGTCCCCAGACTATTTTCAAACTATCTGTGAATATTCCCCCCCCTGTAGAGGGACAGGCCCGACTTAACCCTGGTGGCGCGCGGTGGCGCGCGGCGGGCGGGGGCGCGCCCCCCCCCGCTCCTGGCCGCCCCGCAGGGCCGGCACGGGGGCGCCAACCGTCTCGAGGGTTTTGCGCCGACGGCACGCAAGATGACACATGGTTCCTTTATGATTATTCGAAGGTCCTCTGATTTTTTGGGGCGCCAAGATCCTTTCATTTCTAATTGTTCTCTATCCTGGGCCTCTTCCTGGCCACTAGAGGGTCGGAACAATTAGAAACGCGCACAAGTAGAATTGAGCACGATTAGACATGAACGACGTGTAAGTCGGGCCTGTCCTTCGACAGGAGAAATATTCAAAAACAGTTCAAAGAAATACTCGGGGGACGATTGTTTGAGCATTTGTTTGACTATTCGTCCAAGCTCCGCCCGTAGGAGGACATGCCCGACCTAACACAAGAGTGACCCTTCGCTGGAGTGACCTTCGGTGCGGTCTCATCGGGGTCCCCTCGATCGCTGAGCGCGATGCGGTAGCAGCGTCTTGCGCGCTTGGGTTTGGCTCCCCGCGGAGCCCCCTAAGGCCGCGCACCAGGGGGAACTCTTGCCCATGGTCGCTCTTGCATGTTGCCGCCTTTGGGCCCTCCGTTCCCGGACCCTTCCACGCCAATCGCCCACTCTACCCGTGCCGCCGTCATCCGAACGCCCCCACCCCTGGGGGCTGGCAGCACTTTCCAGGACCCACCCGCTAGAGATGCCAGGTCAGCTGCAAACAGCCCAAGACCCTCAGATCTGACAATGCGAAACAGTGGCTCTACATCGCGAAAAATCAGAACTGGAGCCCCAGACCTTATCTTTCTGCGGCACTTTACGAGCCGGATTGTTTCGTGATGCCCCCATGGCCCGAAACCTGGCGGAGAACGCCCGCTGCAAAGAGCTGAATTGCAGCGCCTCGATCTCGGGGTCTGGGTATCTGTCCCCTTCCGGAGAGGGGCTCCAGTTGTTATTCCCCTCCTGCGCTCCCCCCCCCTAGCGTTCCCCATCACCCCTCGGGCAGAAGACTTTTCGGGACATAACCAGACCTCTGGCGACCGTTCGGGACGATCCGGGAACCCCCTGGTTCGTCCTCGGCGAGGCGCAGCCGCTGGAAAGCATCCCGAGGCTGGAAGAACACAAAGAACCAGCAACAACGACGTCGGATAGCAGCGTACGTCGAACGTGACAACGCGATCCCGAAACGCCCGAATCTAGGGCCGAACGAATCGGGGGGGATAGGGAAAGGGGGCGTGAAATCTGCTGCATGCAGCTGGTCTCGGCCCCGCTGGCGGGCCCATTCCCCGCTACATGGGCGCCTCCCGGCGCTGGGAGGCGCTGGGAACATCAGCTACGTGAGTTGATTCTCTACCCTGCCCTTTGCTGTCCCCCCTTCTCGTTCCCCCCGAAGATCGCAGGGCACCTGGATCTCAGGCGCCCGGAGGCCCCCCGAGGGCTCGGCGAATCTCTCGGCTGCTGGCTGCGCGGGAGCGTGCTCCAGCCCGTGGCGCCCGCCCAGATCGTCGGGGGCCATGGCTCGCCAGGAGCCGCCGGGGGCGTCGCCGCCTTCGAGGCCCCGATTTTTCTTGAGGGGCGAGGGGGGGAGGAGGCGAGGGAGGAAGGAGTCAGAGGGAGGCACAAGTGTACCCGTACCGCTACCCTTGCCTCTTTTTCGCCTCGGGCTTCCGGTCGTCGCCACGGCTGCACTCGCCTCGGAATTCTGGTCAGAACGCATTCCCGGGGGAGGTCTGGCGACTAGCGGTATCAGTGTATCTGTTTGTTTCAGGGGAGCCCCCTGGGTGAGGGAGAGATCGGCGTCACCCCAACATACTTATACTATGCATATGTGCGTCGCCCCCCCAGAGGCGGCGCGCGCACCGCGACATCTTATAGTATATGCATCGTGGTGGGCACTTTCTGGTCACACCGTTCAGGAAACGATCTACTACAAGACGGGCAAACGATATGTTCGGGTCGGACGCGCGCCTCCAAGGCGGACATATAGTATTAGCATGTCCTTATGCGTCCCAAGAGAGGCGCGAGAGAGGGCGGGGAGGTGAGGGGAGGCGAGTGAAAGCGAGGGGAGGAAGGAAGAAAGAAAGCGAGGGGAGGCGAGCGAAAGCGAGGGTAGGCGAGTGAAAGCGAGGGGAGGCGAGTGACAGCGAGGGGAAGAAGGAAGAAGGGGACCCAGACACGGTCGCGCCGCGGACCACAGCGCGACGGACCGCCTCCCGGAGCCCTCACGCCACAGGCCACCCTGGGCCACCAGAACAAACAGAAACGGCCATGCGCGCGTCGTGAAACCATCGCGCCGAAAGGTCTTTGGCGGTTTTCGGCCTTGGGGGGCCCTCGCCGGGCCCTGACCGTCAACTATTGACCCGTCGTGACAAGCCGGCCCTGAAGGGCTGGGACACACGGGGACCTTGCCTGGATGGTTGGACGGGGCCAGGACGGGACGCCGATGAATCCGCTCCAGAGGGTTCCGGAACGCTCTCAGGGCGTTCCGGAACGCTTTGGGAAGGCCGTGTCGCCCGATGCATCCATCCCCTCAGAGAATCTCGATTTATCCTCACCCAGATTTATCTTCGTCCTGGCCTCGTCTTGGCATCCAGATCGCGTCTTGAGCAAAACGAGGGCCTCCGGCCCTGTCCACAATCTGGGCGTCTGGAGGCCCGCTCCTCGGCCTCGGAGCTGGATCACTTCGAAACAGGGCGGGACGTCTGGGGAAGGGGGAGCCCATGCATCCAAGGCGTTTCAAAAACAAAATGAAGCCTCCGGTCCTGTCCACGATCTGGGCGTCCAGATGCCCGTCGCCCTGAGCAACGGTACACTTGGGCCTGGCGGCCGCGGCGGTGTGCAGCCGTCATTTGTCAAAGGCACGAGGCGGGATGCCCCGTGAGCACCAACCAGCACACTTTGGGGCCCAGCGGCCGCGGCAGGGCGGGTCGGGAGCTCTATGCTTTGATTCGTCTGGTGGAGGAAAACACCTGCCCGCCTTTGGGCTCGCCGGCGATGTCTCGCCCCCTGCCCCCGACTTGTGCACGAAGCATGGAGCCGCTCCGGAAAGTAGAAAGGAGGGGAATTCGGGGACGCACTGCCAGGGGGCTGTTTTCGGAGGCACCCCCTATGGAGGACGAGTTGGGCCCCGAAGGCTCGGTCCGTTCGGAAACCCCACGAAGTCGGGTATTTGGGGTCGACCTACGGTGGGGGCGTTCGTTAAGGAATGTGCCCAGGGGGCTTCAGACCCTGGAGGATTCCTTATCTGATGAGGGCGGCGGTGATATCCATGGAGTTCCCCCAGCCTCCAGACCCTCGATTCCTCATCTAAGGGTTCCGTATCCAATGCCCCCACCGTATCCCCTGGTTACGTGCGGCCTTGGCCCCCCCGTGCTCTTCGCGGAGTCCCCGGGCGGCCTGCGGGCCGCCCACGCCTGCCACGCCGCGGCGCGGGCACGCCAGCCGGTGTACACCGTTGGCGCTGCAGAGATGGCGTGCGATGTGGCGCCGCGGGCCTGCCGATGTCACCAGGCTCTCGATGTCCCCCACCCTGAGGACAGCGTGCACCGAGTCGAGCAGTGGCGAAGCGTCCTGGCGTGCCTATAGGCCTACCAAAGAATGCTCTAAGAACCTTTTGTGGTTTCCACGACATGTTCTCAGAACATGTTTGGCTGGGGCTGTCTTGTTTTAATACATCGGGCTTATGTTCTACGAACATTGTTTTTGTTGTTCCGAACATTTGTGGGTTCGGTTTCAAGAACATGTCGTGGTAGGCCTATAGGAATGCCGGGACGGTCGGTCCCTGCTCAACCGAGGATCGGGATGATCGAAATGGGTGCGGAAATAATGGGTATAACGACCGACACCATTTCTCGATCATTCTGGCCAGGCTCGTTGTCAGTGTCGCCGCGGGCAGTGTCCACTTGAGTTGGCAGGTCGCCTGCCAAAGAGAAGGAGGAGGAGAGAGGGCAGGGGGAGGGGGAGGAAGAGGGGGAGAGGAGGAGAGGAAGAGGGAGAGGAGGAGAGGGAGGAGGAGGGAGGAGGAGGAGAGAGGAGGAGGAGAGGAGGAGGAGGAGGAGGAGGGAGGAGGAGGAGGAGGGAGATGGGGAGGAAGAGGGGGGAGAGGAGGAGGAAGGGGCAGCCTCGGGCCTCCCCCCCGCAGGGTCGGGTAGCGCGGCTGCCTCCCCCCAAACGCCCAGCAGCGGATTGCCAATCTCAGCCGCTTTCTCCTCCCCCTCCTCCCCCTCCGCCTCCGTCCTTTTCCCCTGCTGCCCTCCTCCCCCTCCTCCTCTCGTCTTCTCCATCTCCCTCCTCCTCCTCCCTCCTCTTCCTTTCCTCCTCCTCTTCCTGTAAGCTCCTCCCCCCCTCGTCTTTCTTTTCCCTCCTCCTCCTCCTCCTCTCCTCCTTCCTCCTCCTCCTCCCTGCCTTTTGTTATCCTCCTTCGCCAGCCCTCTCCTCCCACCTCCTCCGCCTCCCGCCTCCTTTTTTTCCCCGACCGTCCCCCTCCTCGTTCCCTCCTCCTTCCTCCTGCACCTGGTACCATCCTCCTCCTTTTCTCCTCCCTGTCTTCCCCCTCCGCTACTTTCCGCCCTCCTCCTCCCCCTCACCCTTATCCCCCTCCTCCCACCTCCTCCCTTCCGGTCCTCCTTCTCCTCCTCCTTCCTTTCCCTCCTCCCTTGTTTGCCTCCTTTTCCTTATCTCCCTGGTTTTCAAGTCCTACTCCTCCTCTTCCCTTTCTCTCTGTTCTCCTCCTCCTCCTCCTCCTCCTCCTCCTCCTCCTCCTTATCCTCGTCCTTTCTCCCCCTCTTCCTCTCCTCTCCTCCCCCTCCCCGCCTCCGCCTCACCTTTCCCTTTCCTCCCCCTCCTTCTCCCACCTCCTCCCCCACCTCGCCTACCCCACGCCCCTATTTTTGTCCTCGTTCGTCCTCCTCCTCCTCCTCCTCCTCCTCCTTCTCCTCCTCCTCCTCCTCCTTCTCATCCTCCGCCTCCTTTCCCCCTCCTCCCCCTCCTCCTCCACCCCCTCCTCCCCCTCCTCCTTCTCCTCCTCCTCCTCCTCCTCCTCCTCCTCCTCCTCCTCCTCCTCCTCCTCCTCTCCTCCCTCCCTCCTCCTCCTCCTCCCTCCACAATTACACAATATGAAAATACTCTCCCACTTCCCCTGATGGCGTCCCGAAGATGGCCGACCCCCCCCCCGCGTACTGTTTTTTTACACAGGATTGCTGGGAAACGGGTTTTCGCTTGCGTTAGCTTCAAAATGCTGCTCTCGCTGAGGCGCCGGCCTCATTTCTGCTCCCGAATCGTTCCGAATCGTGCTCCCGCTGCAGCGTGGGCCTCATTTTCGGATCGGTGTTTGGCCTCCGTCGTTCAGGGACGTTCTCGCCCCAGCGCGGGCCTCTTTCTCGCGCGCCCATCCGCCCGCCGCCACCGCGCCGCACCACCACCACCACCACCACCACCACCACCACCACCACCACCACCACCACCACCACCACCACCACCATCACAACCACCACCAGCACCAGCACCACCACTACCACCACCAGCACCAGCAGCAGCACCACCACCACCACCACCACGCACGCACGCACGCACGCACGCACGCACGCACGCACGCACGCACGCACGCACGCACGCACGCACGCACGCACGCACGCACGCGCACCACCATCCACTACGCACGCGCGCGCGGAGCCACAGGTCCGCTACGACACGCGTCCGCGTATAGAGAAAATCAGCGCCATGGGAAGGGATGGGAGGGAGGGGTAGGACGTCATATATGACGCGAGCGCACCTAGCTTGTCTCCTCCCCCTCCTCCGCCTCCGCCTCATTTCCCCCTCCTCCCCCTCCTCCTCCCCTCCTCCCCCACCTTCCCCTCCTCCTTCTCCTCCTCCTCCTCCTCCTCCTCCTCCTCCTTCTCCTTCTCCCCCCGGGCCTCCCCCTCCGCCTCTTTTCCCCCCCTCCCCCTTCCTCTCCTCCCTCCACCCCCTCCTCCCCCTCCTCCCCCTCCTCCTCTTCCTTCTCCTCCTAGGCCTCCCCCTCCGCCTCCTCCTCCTCCTCCTCCTCCTCTTCTCCTCCTCCTCCTCCTCTTCCTTCTCCCCCCGGGCCTCCCCCTCCGCCTCTTTTCCCCCCTCCCCCTTCCTCTCCTCCCTCCACCCCTCCTCCCCCTCCTCCCCTCCTCCTCTTCCTTCTCCTCCCCGGCCTCCCCCTCCGCCTCCTCCTCCTCCTCCTCCTCCTCCTCTTCTCCTCCTCCTCCTCCTCCTCCTTCTCCTCCTCCTCCTCCCCCTCCTCCTCCTCCTCGTCCGCCTCCTCCTCCTCTGTTTCCTCTCCTCCCCCTCCTCCCCCTACTCTCCTCCTCCCCCTCCTCCCCCTCCTCACTTGATCTGGGGAGATCAGTGGTTGGTTAAGCCGTGAGGCGTGCAATTGCAATGGCAATACATGGGTAGCAAGAGGTAGAGAGAGATGTTGGATTGGACATGTTTCGGTACGCAGTGCAAGTAAGTATGCAACAGTATGACAAATGTCTGTACCGCGCGGCTGCGATGCTACAGTGCTGCTCTCTGCGCTTCTACCCTCCC